AAAATAAAAATTACAAAACGAGCACAAAGAAGTCTTCCCTTTGTAATATTTAATAAAATACTGCTCTGCCTAAGATCTAATGAAAAATTCCAGTTACTTACAAAATAGTTACATAAGGAAAGAAATCAAGGGTGATAGATGTGTATGAAATCACACTGTTTAAATGAGGAGACACTTTGATACACAGCATTCCGATTACTCAAATGCAAAATGAAAATACTCAAAGTAATTTATTTAGAAAAAAAGAAATATAAGATACTTGAATCCCCCCACACCCCAAGTTAAAAAATAAAACCCAGCAGTGTGTTGATGCTACACACCTTTAATCCCAGTACTTGGGAGGCAGAGGCAGGAAGATCTCTCTGAGTTTGAGGCCAGCCTGATCTATAGAGTGAGTTCCAGGACAGTCATGGCTACACAGAGAAACCCTGTGTTGAAACACAAAACAAAACTAATATACATACAAAATATGGGCGCGCGCACGCACACACGTGCACACACGTGCACACACGTGCACACACACACACACACACACACACACACACACACACACACACACACACACACACAGCCGTAAAGGAAAGGTAGGATTAAGAGTGTGAAGCACACTGGTCATAGAGCCATACTCTGTAACTTGAGAATCTAGGAGGAGGAGGCAGGGGGACTGAGAGAGCTCTGTAGCAAAAGGAAGGAGGGCAGAGAGGAATGGAGTGGAGAGGGGGAGGAGAGATTGAACCAGAGGGAGCACTTAAAGCAAGCCATGGAGCAAATTCTCACCCCTATCATTCTGAAACAGAATAAGAACTTGGTTTCTAATCCCCAAGCAGCTACACAGAGCATCACCTGCTGCAATAATCGGTAGTAATGGGCCAAGAGTGGGAAAGTTAGCTTTACAGGTTTCACTATGCCAGAGTGCAGTGTGTTGGGAAGCAGTCCTGTCACCAGCTGCACTTGAGACCCATCACTCAGAGCAGGGAGTTTTTGCCTGACACTTGGATTCTCAACATTCTTAACACTTGAACTCTTTTCCTCCTGCCCTCTTTCAAAAGGAAAATCAGTGCTATCTAACTCAGCATGTGATATAAAACTCAGACCGGCTTGTCTGCTCTTTCCAGGTACCTGAGAGCCGCCATCCCTCTCTAGCTGACTCTGTGCCTGGCAGAAACTAGGATGTCTAATGGGAATACAAATTGTCAGTCTGAAAACACTAAAAACTCAAGCTTTATTTTTTGCTGGCAAAGGGAGTGCCTGCAAAAAACACTACTTCGTTAAAAAACCAAACATAAATGCACACAAAGAGCTGCAGTTTGAATCCTGTCACTATCTCTTAAAAAATATTTTAAAAAAAGATACAGAATACCTGTCATAGTAATTTCTAACAGATTCTCTTCTATAGTAAAAGAAAAGTCTGGAAGCAAGATGGCATAATATAGCAGAGAAGTGTGTGAGAGCTTTCTTCAATGGAGAGCCAGAGTTGTGTCATATAAGGCGGAAACTAAATAACCACTATGAAAAAAATCTTTGTTGACACAAATAGACACAAAGGGGGAGCAAATAAAATGACCCTATAGTTTATTTCCTTAAGATAAAAAAGTACATTGAAGTCTACAAATACTATTGGATCTTATCCGACTCCCTCTCTTTGCCTCCTCCGCAAGAACCAAGAACCTAAAAATGTCTAAACACAAAGGATTGGAAGCAGTACCAGGAAAAAAGAAATGGCACCAACACTCTTCACTGTGCTCATCAGAGGAAGAAGGGACTAGCCTGTCTTCTTTGAAAAGGAAGGGAAATCTCGTTTCTAGGCAGCGTCTCCATAGCCCAGGCTTGGCTTCAATTCCAGTCCTCCTGCCATAGCTTCAGAGTGGCTGGCATTAGAGATGGGCAGTACCATTCCCAGCAGAGGAAAACCTTAAACTGAAACTAAGATTCAGAGGAAATAATTTTTTGACACAACAGAGGTTTAGATATTTAAGCCTTTTTAGTCTATGAAGTGTTTAAGCCAATTAATGCATTTTATCTACCAAATTTGAAAATGAAGGTAGTGAACGGTAAAGCACAGAATTGTGAAGAGAAACAATGGCTGAAAGGATCCATCTTTAAATTAACTACATTTGCTTAAAAAAGAAAGGCTTGTTGAACAAGGGCATTTGCAACAGTCTCCAGTGAGGAGAGGAAGGCTTAATCAAATAACTTTTCTAGTTACATGAAAACACGGTCTGGGGGAATCTTTCCTTTTGTGGCCAAAGTTCACCATTTCTTTTTTCTTTTTTGTTTTTTTGAGGCAGGGTTTCTCTGTGGTTTTGGAGGCTGTCCTGGAACTAGCTCTTGCAGACCAGGCTGGTCTCGAACTCACAGAGATCCGCCTGCCTCTGCCTCCCAAGTGCTGGGACTAAAGGTGTGCGCCACCACTGCCCAGCAAGTTCTCCATTTCTACCAAGGCTTATTTTAGAAGCTTGAAGATCTCAGACTACTCTATCCCAGAGGGGAGATCTGTATGACTCCTACAGTACAACTATGTTGCAGATGTGCTAGATCCCTTTAGATGTGCCAAACAGATCCTGTGTCCTTAGAGCTACCCAGCTATTAAGACAGTCATGTCTCAAATCTTCCATAGGTTGCACGTTTTCTAGATGTCAGACTTGCACTGAGAATAGGGCTATGGGGGAAGAGTCATCACACTCTATCTACCAATATGCAGTCCTTTGCTATTTTATTTTCTCCTGAAGCTTGACCCTTAGAATTTTTGTTTTTGTTTTCAAAAGGGAGGTCTCCATATAGAATTACTAGCTTGTGCTCAAACTTTAGAGAAATACTTTCACAGGTTCAATGACAGGATGTTTACTAAAATCTCTCAGGGGGTTTGCAAAAGGAATCCTTCCTCTGGGTTCTACAGGGAACATGGTTATCCACCATGGTGGGATCATTACACAGGAGTAAGTGAATGGTAGAATAAATATCAGTGAGTTTCTTGGAAGGAGTAACTATAACATCATAATAACTGAACATTCCCTTGTGTTTCCAATGGATGCTTCCCTTGAACATAGAGTTTGTGAAGCAATGAAGACAAACACTGAGAATGACCTGACCTTACCCCTGTGTCCCACTGCACGCGAGGAAGTGCTGGGCACTAACAAATAGCTGAACTTCTATTAACAGAAAACAAAGTCACAGGAAGTCACATGACCACAGAAAATGAAGATAATGACCTCTTATAAAGGCACTACTAGCATACATATATCCTGCCATCAATTAGAGAGACACTGAAGTTAGCAGAGAAAGGAATTAAGTTTTATACCAGCATTTTAAAAAACAGTCAAACAATTTTAAGACTTATGGCAATATTTTCAATGAGCTAAGGAAATCACATACAACAGTAAGCAGCTCCATTTAAAGACTGGTTTCTACTTTTTTGTTTGTTTGTTTTTGTTTTTTGAGACAGAGTTTCTCTGTATTGTTTTGGAGCCTGTCCTGGAACTCGCTCTGTAGACCAGGCTGGCCTCAAACTCAGAGATCCGCCTGCCTCTGCCTCCCGAGTGCTGGGATTAAAGGTGAGGGCTACCAACACCCGGGTTTCTACTTTTTAAAAAGTATGATCATTTTACTCCTTAAAAATATAAACATATCACAAAACTAAAGAATAAATATATGTTCATATATAAATGCAGGCCCTGATGTCATTGAGAAGTTTCGTAAAATCCAAATCATTCCAACACTGTGAACACAGACATCTGTGAGGGACATGCAGAGACAAATGCACATCACTGAGTAGTTCAGCAAGTGCTAAAATGCACGGCTAGAATGGGACAGGCAGGAAATAATGTACACACAAACATCTTGGAATTTTTAAAAAGTTTTTAAAAAGTATTCAAAATGATATCAGTCCCAGGAAGCGCTACACATGGACCCATGATGAGCTCTCACATATGTGAAGTAAGCACAGGTGGTGTGGTGATGGCATGGCTGGGATTCCAGAACTGGAAGGTTGCCATGAGTACTAGGCCAGCCAGGACTACACAGCAAGACCCTGTCTCAAAACAAACAAAACCCAAGAAACCTAAGCAAGAATAAAGTGATTAACATTTTGTACTATACTCTACTTGAAGACTGATTTGTAATCATGGTATCCTGTAGATTTTGAAACTTAATTTTATTAGGAATTCTTAATGCTGGCTCTTGAATAATCTAAAAAAAAATCGTCATTTCTCAAATCTAGATTGCTATTCCTAGTTCGAAGCAGTCAGATGAATGACCGGGAGGGTCTTCTAAAGCTGCTTTGGTACAAGGTTTAGAACACAGCAACACTGGCAGCATCAGCCAGTGAGCTGGCTCTGCGGCATCCTGGGACTGATTCTGGCAATAAACTGATGTGAAGACACAGTAAAGGCCAAGACACAGTAAGGGCCATTCTCCCAGCCATGTTGCTACATCATTAAAGAGAAATAAAACCCACACTTAGGAAATTATGAGGCCTAATTCATGCTGCATTTAATTATCCCTCAATAATAGTGTAAAAAAGCTTATTATTATGATAATAAAATGATTAATTTATAGTTCAAGGATGCTTCTAATGAGGAAGCCAACTGTTAGTGGTACATTTAAACTTTAGCCCACTGATAATTTATGTTTTTGGTTTTTAAAGCAAGGTCTCAGGCTGGCCAGGAACTCACTATGTAGTCTTAGCTAACCTTGAATATATGGCAATCCTCCTGTCTCAGCCTCTCAAGCATGAGGGTTATAGGCATGAACTACCATGCCCAGTATGATATTTATTTTAATACAAGATTTAATTTGATTTTTTACAGCTTTATTGAGGTATCACTGATGTACAACAAATTGCACATATTTAAAGTGCACAATTTGATATTTAGTCTTAAATAGCATGAAAAGTGCCTGATAACTTAAAAATAAAAAAACATTCAATCTAAACATATTCTAAAATAGTACATTTCTGACACATAGATATCAATTTATAAAAAGGTGGATGGAAATAAAAGAAATTAATTCCCAGGTATCAAATTTATTCAGAAGGTTTAGGAATGCTAAAATTGACAGCCAGTTTCCTTGATTTCCTTCTCGAGGAGCTCGATGCTGGTTTCTGGTGGGTCACACGATGGCCTTGGGAGGCAGTGTCGACTTGAGACGACTCAGGTTGAGCAGCCGGAGAGGACTTCAAAGAGACTGATGGGCCTTCTTGTGGAATTATTTTGGTGGCTTCAGAACACCCTGGCTTGCTAGTCTGAAGTGGTGTGGCTTGAGAACTCTGGGCCTCCTTAGTCTCAAAATTCTTTCTGTTTGCAACCCTTTTTTTTGTAACCTTTAAGGAATAAAAGCATCATTACTAACAATGTAGGTAGAAAAAACAAACAAAAAAAACCCAAAAATCTTATGTCAGAAAACACCATAAATCAGGCTGCTAATATTTGCCAATCACTGCTGATTTTTGGCTTCTACTTATTAATAGCAGCAGAATAATTGTAATAAGGGCTGGAGTGATGGCTAGGGGATGCAAGGGACCTGAGTTTGGTTCTGGGTATCCATATCTGCTGGCTTGTGACTGCTTCAGGGGATCCAAAACCTCTGACCTCCTTTGTGTACAGCATACCCTCCCTCATGCACATAATTAAACCAGAATAAATCCTTAAAATATTTATATTACTTGCTACAATTAGTATTACTTATTAGAATATAAACTCAGATCAGAGATCAGCTGAAGTGTATCACTACTATAAGCTAAGTTCAAACTAAGGATTTCCAGTTAGTATTGGGAGTCTGGGAGTCAGTTTTTTCCTTCCACGGTAAGAGACACAGGAAATTAACTCAGATCTTCAGGTTTTGCAGCACAATTACCTACTGAGCCATTTCTCTGGCCCTGGTATTTTGAATTTCAAGGCAACCTGTTTCTTTTTATTAAATGTTGTTCATTTCAACCTAGAGATGCATGTCCTTTAGTTCTAAGGACATTTTTTTAAATCACATTTTGCTCTGAATATTTAAAGGAAGTAACTCTGTTAACAAACCAACAACACAATTTTCTTTCCAGCCCTCACCTGCAGAGGTATGAACTGATTGTGCACCCCGCTTGGCATTCCTCCAGCCAAGGGCATGGTTCCAGGATATGAAGGATGATGGAAGGCCTTCCCAGCAACTGGCACTGGTGGTCTCCATGGCACTGAGCCAAAGAGATGAGATGGTGAAGGCATTATATTAGCTGTCAAAAACCAAGATCCAGACATTAAGACTTCTCTCTGCTAGCCTTTTTTTTTTTTCTTAAAGCTCCACCTCATTTGGCCTCAATTGTTACTGTTCTTGTCTATTACATCACTCACCCCTAGGATCCTTTCTTAGGGTCATAATATGATCTATAGAAAAGCAGTTATTGTGAGGCCAATAGTGCCAAATGCTGACATGAGCTTTAGGAACAGTTGTAATTGTGGGACTTGGAAGAAGCTGGACTTTCCTGTGGTATCATTTTGGTGGGTTCAGTGGCTTGCTGGTATGAAATGGTATGGACTGCGAAGAAATCTGGCCCTTCCTTATTCCCAAAATCCTGTTTAATGATCATGAAGCTTCTCCTTGAGGAAGGTCTGGGGATAAAGACAAACCATAATGCTCTCACCTGATCCAAATGCTAAGTTGTGTCCACAGTGAGCTCAGCAGACAAAAAGCCCAAAGCTCATGTCCTGAAATATGATCACTTTCATGGTACAGGTCTCTTTTTTGTTGCCTACTGGAAACACACTCAACTGGTGATTCCTAAAACTGTTTGTCTCTCTGAGACACTTGGAGGGTTTATGAAATGCAGACCCCTATGGAGAGTGATTGAAATCTAGCAAGCCAGATCCTTGAGGTCTCAGGAATCTTTGTATGCAGATCAGAGGACAATTCATGGGAGCCAGTTTTTTCCTTCCACGGTAAGAGACACAGGGATTTAACTCAGATCTTCAGGTTTTGCAGCAAGCACAATTACACAGTTACCTATTGAGCCATTTCTCTGGCCCTGGCATTTTGAATTTCAAGACAACCTGTTTCTTTTTATTAAATGTTGTTCCTTTCAATCTAGAGATGCATGTCCTTTAGTTCTAAGAAAATTTTAACCTACTTTCCTTCTTACTCATCTCTTTCTCTGGAGTGCCTATAACATGGGTTGCAGATCTGTGCATTGTTACTTTAGAGCCTCGATGATTCATTCTCTCTCTCTCTCTCTCTCTCTCTCTCTCTCTCTCTCTCTCTCTCTCTCTCTCTCTCTCTCTCTGCTGTTTGAATATGTGATCTCTTGGCTTTTGGCTTCAGTTATCCATTACCATGTCTCTGTTTCTATTATGGATTCCCCATCTGGTGTTTTATGCCAGCAACAGAAAAGCAACTGATACAGAAGTTGGTACCAGGAGTGGGGTGTTGCTGTGGATTTGTTGTATTTTGGAGGAATTTTGGACTTTGCAAGTTTGGACTAGAAAAGTGGCTGAATGCGGAAACCAGCACTTAATGGGCCATTCTAGGAGACAGAAGGGATGAGAGTAATGCAGAAGATAGAAGCCTAGCTTATGATGACTGTATTTACTACTGCAACAGAGTCAGTATGGTATTTTTGTAAACAATTTCACTGTTTTCTGCCCATGTCTTTAGAATTTACACGAGGCTGAACTAAAAAGACTAATTTCTTTGGCAGAAGAACTTTCAAGACAGCATAACATTGAGTCTATGGCACGGTTCATATTGATAATGTATATACAGGTCTATAATAAGAAAGGGCAGGTGGGGCAGAAAGAGATTTTTAAAAAATGCACAGTCTGGAGATAAAAAGGTGATTTCCCCTTTACAACCATAAGCTAAAATAAACTATTCCTTTTATAAGTTGCTTTTGGTTATGGTATTTTAGGTACATTAGCAAGACTAATGTACTATGAAGGCATGTGCTAAAAGAGGTTGTCATTATTAAGGAGATTAGTGCCATTAAGGAGAGACCTCCTGTTCTGCACTGGAACAATGGGAAATATGCCATAAGGGAAGATCCTACCTATCTAAGCCTCCAACTTGTAAAAGGAAAAAGCCTAAAGGGCAGCTTGTTTCTAGAAAGCAACTGTTTCAGCCAAGGAAAGCTGCTACTAAAGTGGTTGAAGGGGGTGCCATCCTAGATGGCAATCAAACTTGTCAGTGTACCATCTTTGGAGGCATGAAAAATGTAAGAGTGAGGGAAAGGGGGGGATCATGGATTCTATCTTCATGGTTTCAGAGAGGCCCTGAGGCCAGACAATGTGTGACAGAGGAATCCCTGTAAGGAGCCAGTGAGAGATCATTATATATAGCTATGAAAATGAAGTCTGGGTTATGGTGGAGACCCCATGATGTTGAAGATCACAGTCATGAGACATCTGCCAAAGAGAGCTGCATACAGGGAGTGGAACCACACCCACAGAGAGAGAGAGAGAGAGAGAGAGAGAGAGAGAGAGAGAGAGAGAGAGAGAGAGAGAGAGAGAGAGAGAGAGGGAGGGAGGGAGGGAGGGAGGGATGAATGTTGTTGGCAGCAAACCTGGAGCCATCTAAGTCTTGTGAAATTAAAGTACCAGACATGACATAGAGTTAGAGGATTTTGTGTTTACCTTGCTGACCTTAGATTTTGTTCTGATTCACTTCTTACTATGCCCTCATTTCTCCCTTTTAGATTAGGGATGTATATTCTTTTGGCACTGTATGTTTGCTGGAAGTATGTAATTTGCCTTTTGACTTTACATGGGGTCACAGTTAAGGGACTGCATTGGGTCTCAAAAGTGACTTGGGCTTCGGACTTTGGCACAATGTTGAGACTGATAAGACTACTGGGACTTTTAGGGTTGGACTGAATGCATTTTGTGTTATCAGATGGCCATGAGCCTACAGAGGTCAGAGCAGATTGTGGTAGGAGAAATGTGCCTTATAGGCTTAGATGTCTGAACCCCTGTTCTCCCAGCTGGTGGTGCTATCTGGAGACTTAAGAACCTTTAGGAGGTGCAGTCTTGCTGGAGAAAGTGTGTTACTGGAGACAGGCTTTCAGAGTATATAGCCTTGCTCCATGCCCAGTTTCTTTTCTCCATTTCATGCCTGGAGTTGAACAGATGAACTTTCAGCTTCTGGCTGTAGCCCCTTGTCACCATTCCCTCCCATTAGGGACTCTCCTCTGGAACAGTAAACCTAAATAAACCCTTCCTACTGCAGGCTACCTTTTGGTTAGGGTGCTTTATCACAGCAACAGGAAGTAGCACACAACCACAGATCATTTTTTCAATTATTCCTTTTTCATACAATCTTGCTTTTATTTTGCTAGCTCTGCAGAGTTAGAGATTAAATTCAGGGCTTCGCTTATGACAGGCAAATGTGGTCAGTGAGGAGGATGAAGGGCTCTGTAACATCCACTGTAGGGACTGTGGTTTGCAATTTAACCCTGCTCTCTAAACTGATGACTTCAATGTTTTACTCACTGCAAACTGTTTCCAAATTGCTAGTCTGATGATATTTCTTCTATTTCTCCTCAGAGGTTTTGTTTTCAAAATTTCTTATTATGTAATAGAGTTTGGGCAGGAAGCAAAGGTAACCACAGATTATAAGCTTTTTTGATTTTTAGTGACAGTTTTCAACTTAGGCAGTGGGTTCACTGTAATCCTAGTACCCACCACCCAGGAGAAATGAGAAATTCAAAGCTGGTCTAGGATATACGAAACACTGTCTTAAAAAGAAATCAAACCCCAACACCCTAAAAAATGGTACACATTGATGTATGTGTATTCATACTAAATGTGATTAAAACCAAACCAAAACAACCCCCCCAAAGCCCCAACAAAAATGTGGTTCTTTAAAGAATTTAGAGAAAATAATAACTCAAGGATAATACCTAGAAAAGCAAAATATCTTACCAGTGGGTTGGGGGAAAATGGGAGGAACGGTTCCGGAAGGTACAGCAGGAGGAAAATTTGGAAACATTGGTGGAGGCAAAGGATAATTTACACCAAAGGAGCCCTGTAGAAGTATTTAAAAATTATAAAACAACAAAAACATTTTTGTAAAGACTAATTAAAACCTAACAGATGACTTTGGTGGCTGAGAGAGATGGCCCTGAGGTCATAAGAGAGTGGGGGAACAGGCCCTGCACCTCACCTGGGCAACACAGTAGAGCTAACCCTGTCAGCAGGTGAGTCCCTCCAGAGGGCATGAGAGTAGGAGAGCTGCCCCTGCCCTTGCTTGTATGCCATATGTTGGCATGGGGGAGGGAAAGATGCCCTTCCATCCCTTGCCACCTTTGGCAGGTGGGAGAGTTGACCTGAGCACAAGAGCACCTCACCTGAACAACATAGTAGAGCTTGAGTGAGACGTGAGAGGGTGTGAGAGCAGAATTGGCCTGCTCCTTGCTGCCTGCTGCACTGAGTGAGCTAGCTGGGACAGTGCTGGAGAGCTCACTGTGGTGGTGGTAACGAGGCAAAGCTGGCAGGCTGACCGCCCCAGCTGCCACCACACTAGACACAGGCTATGAGCTGGTCCATCCCAACATTCATATCATCTGTGAGCTGCTGGAGCATGTGTAAGGGCTAAACCTATAGATCCAAAGCTGCAGGATCTCCATGACACAAGGTAGTGACAGATTATCCAAGAGGAGTCCCAGTGAGGGCCTGTATCAAGGGTGTAGCAGAAGCTGGAGGCCTCAAACCGGACCAACGACTCATTGCAATGAATACTTACAAGTAAAGATGTATGAAGTAAAGGGGATATTGTGTGACTTACTGTGTCACACTACAGTTTCCATGCTGAGAATTAAAAAAAATATTTCTTATTTTTTTTAAATTTTATTTCATTTTGAGAGGGGAGGTGGCAAGAGCAGAGGGTGGATATGAAAGGATGGAGAGATGAATTCCATCAGGATGCATGGATGTGAAACCCACAAATAATCAATTAAAAAAAAAAAGGACAAAACAAAAACTAACAGGCTGCAGAGATAGCTTGGTTGTTAAGAGCACTTGCTGCTCTGCCTGAGGATCGAAGCTTGATTCCCAGCATGCATGTAGGGTAGTTCACAAGCACTGTAACTACAGATCTAGGGGATCTGACTCCCCTCCCCCTGCTGCTCTCTTACACACACGGGGATACACACATACACACAAATAAATTAATCTTAAAAACTTAGTAGGAAACCCATGAATGATTCTTACCAGTTGTTGTAAAGCAAAAAGTGCAGCTCTCTCCTTGGCTTCACTTTCAGAGTGGCACTGTGGCCCATGGACCAGTAAACCATTAGACAATTTTACCTGACAAACTGTCATTGTCTAAAACAAGAGAATATAGATGTCCATAAGATTATCTGTCTAGGAACTAACTTCTCCTAAAGCTCTGTCAAGTCTCATTTCACTTTCAGGTTTTCAGGAAAACTTTTTAGAATTGTGCCTTATCTTTCTTTCCTTAAAAAAATAAAATAAAATAAAATAAAAACTCAGGGTCTATGTAGTCCTGGCTGTCCTGGAACTCTCTATGTAGACCAGGCTGGCCTTGAACTCAGAGATATGCTTGCCTCTGCCTCCTGAGTGCTGCTCAGCTCAGAGCCTTACCCTTTAACATTTACAAGATAGAATGGTCTCTAGAGCAGGCACTGAAGTCCTATCTTTTTGGAATACTGAAGGGGTGTTGGGGCCTGAATATGATATTTCAGATATAGACCTCAGCTCAATTCCAGGAGCATGATCTCCTATTGTGTTTTAGATGTCGGCTGGTTACTTCTGGATGACCTAGCCACAGCAGAGAATGGCTTCTAGTTTGTGTAACAATAGGCCTAGGCCCAATGCCCATCATGAGGGCTAAGTGGGATGTGGCTGAAGACTGGAATGTCTGAGAGCTTGTGTGTACGTGCATTCTAGGACCATCTCTAGAGCTAAAGGGAGTGTTTCCTAGTCAGCCCTCTATCTGCCATTATCATCCCCCCTGCTTTTGGAAAGCTATTTAGGAAGATGCTTGAACAAACGATGGTCTCCAGGATTGAGTGAGAGCCCTCCTGAAATCATAAGATGTCTTTGTCTTTGTCTTGTCCTTAACACCGCTTGGTAGCTAGAACTTCTCTGATCTACACTGCCACACTCAGAGTCGGAGGGGCTGTTTGGCTGGTTCTGAACACAGCCCCAAAGACATTAGTCCTGAATAGATGGCCCCTGTAGCTTAGGATTGATACAGGTTGGACCCCAGCAAAGGGGAAGACAGGATTGTTTGAACTTAGGAGTTAGAGACTAATGTGACTACATGGGAAACAAATTTAAAAATAGAATAAAAGAACAAGCTATCAAAACAAGACTAAGCATCAAGCATTTCAATGAAAATGAGGGCTAGCAAAGCTTTTTTTCTCTATTCTAAGAATTGGCAAACTAAGCCTTTTGCCTTTTGCTAACAAAGTTTTACATTAAGATACAACAACAACAACAACCCAGCTGTGGTGGTCCACCCTAGAGGCCAGCCTGGTCTACAGAGTGAGTTCCAGGACAGCCAGAGCTGTTACAACAGAGAAACCCTATTTTGAAAAATGTTAAAAAACAAACCAAACCCAAACCAACCCTAAACCCAGAATTGCTTAGGAAGAATTTCCCACTATTGTAGAGATGAGAAACCGTGACAAAGACTGTATGGTCCACAGTATGAAACACTGGCCATTGATAGAAACAGCTTGCACACTTACGTTTCCTATCACCTCAAGCAGCAGTTAGAAATATAACTGCCCAAGTGTGAGAAACTCAGAGATTTTGGTTTGGTTAGAGCCTCTAGCTCACCCCTGCATGGTCTGGAAAGCCCCCTCTCCTCTTTCCCCTGCCCCCTCCAAACCCTTACCCACCCCTAAGGAAAGGCACTAAAAAGCCCAGTTCTGCATTCTTCGTGGGTCTTGCAGCTTCTTCCTCCAAAGTTGCCAGTGGCTCAAGTTCCTGCCTAAGTACTCAGCTTTTGACCGTACTTGGGCACAAACCCAGCTACTACAGGATACATCATCAGCCCTTGCCTACAACCTAAATCTCCCTGTTTTAGTTCAGGCATTCGACTTCTCTGGCCTTGATCTATGGGACTGGAGAACCAGCCTGGAAGGTGCTCTGCCCAATATACTCAATGTTTTATTTTTCATATAGGCTTGGTCTGGTTTACTGCTTCAGCAGAGAAACATGGGTAGATGGGTGCACGGAAACCATTACTGTCTTTGAGCTTTAGTAGTAATCTTATATATTCTGTTGGTACAGTATGTGAACGTGAGGCCTTGAGTAGAATTCCTAGTGCTGTTGAAAAACAACTACTTCTCAAACTACAAACAAATAAAAAACCTCACACTCACAGAAATAAAACAACCTCCACACTATTGTATTTTTTTCTAGCTAAAGATTTTTCAGTCAATTCTGCTCAGTTAAAGATTTATATCTGTGTAGACATCAAATAGCAGCATACCATACCTGTGTTGTTCTCAGAAAGGAAAAATCTGGTTGTGGCATTCCAACAAGGGAGCAAATTCGAGCAAGTTCAGTTACTGGTGTGGACACAGGAGGGATATGGCCAGGCCAACACATACTCTCCACAGATGGAGCATTTTGGTATTCATTGGTACCACGGGGCTTGTTCATAAAGCATGCTGTCAGGAGAGAAAAGGGAATAGCCATGTTAATTAAAATGGTCTTGGACTATCCAGTTGTAATGGTTTGAACTCATAGGCGCCTATATTTGAATGTTTAGTTACTAGGGACGGGAGCTGTTTGATAGCACTAGAAAAATTCAGAGGTGTGGCCTTGTTGGAAGAAGAATGTCACTGGGGGTAGGCTCTGAGGTTTCAAATCCCGTGCTAGTAGGCTCAGTTCCTCTCTGTCAGCCACTGCTTTAGAGCCATGCATGTGACCATGATGATAGTATACTAAACTTCCCAAACTGTTAAGCCCACAATTAAACTCTTTTATAGGAATTGCCTTGGTCATGGGGTCTCTTCACAGCAATAGAAAAGTGTGACCAAGATATCAGTTATTGTAGGTTTTTAGTAAATCAAACAGAAAGCTGCTAAATGGTTAAAAAATGGCAGGCTGGCATGGCGGCTTGCACCTGTGATCTTGAGGCAGATGGATTGCCACCAGTTTGAGTCCAGTCTGGGATACAAAATGAGATTCTGTCTCCAAAAACAATGGCAGCAGGGGCTCTCCTTAAACCTGGGGCTTGGTTTTCTTGGATAGGGTGGAAGAAAGCAAGGACCAGCAATCTTCTTATTTTCCTAGTAGCTGGAATAATAGGTGTTTTTGGGCTTGTTATATGTGTGCCACACAGGTGAACTCTGGTCTGGATAAATATGTGGCAAGTATTCTTAACTGCGGAGCCACTTCTCTAGCCCCCTACTTTTAAAAAGAACAAATGGGGCTGGTGAGATGCTTAGTGGGGAAAGGTGCTGACTGTCAAGCCTGATGACCTGAGTCAATCTCTGGGATATACACAATGGAAGGAGAGAACTGACTCCTCCAAGTCGTCTTCTGATCTGCACATGTGCGCTCTCTATGTAAACACACACCAAACAGACAGACAGGAAGACAAACATAATCACCTGTTTTGGAAGAAACCAAATGAAGCAAACGTTTGGAAATAATATTCACTATTAGCAACTGTACTTGGTTAACTCACCCAGCTTCTTATTTTGTTCAGGATGTGATAGCAGTCCATGCTCATCTCTTTTACTGGAAGAAGCAGTGACTTCATTATCAAATTGCTTCCCATCATTCTTACTGTCTGTTGTGTCAGGGCTATCGATTTTTAGAATTTCTTTTAGCATCCGTGTTCCTTTCTTTTTAGAAAATGATTCATAGGTAGATGTGGGGGGTGAGAAGAAAATAAATGTTAGGCTCATATAGGTTGTTTCTTTTTCTTCTTGGTTTTCTGAGGTTATTTCTTTTTTGTGGTGTTGTCCCTGTATATGCTAGACAGGAGCTCTACTGCTGGCCATCTCCCCAGCCTTTGCTCTTGCTTTTGAAAAGTTCTTGTTGTTAAAATTAAGATGCTAACTAAGCTCATCTAAGATAAATAGATGGTCATGGGCTGAAAAACATTCACATTTCAAGGTACACAGATAATATTTATCCTATTTAACTTTTAGCCCTGTCAACAGCAATGTTTAAAAAGCAGGAATCTATGGTCTAATGGGAAAACAAAAACAAAACCTTACAAAAACAACAAAACATATGGGATGGCTAAATTATTCAAAGCATCCTGGTCTTCCTCTCTTGATGACGATAGCAATGCAAGAGCCAGGTGTTGGTGGCCCACGCCTTTAAACCCAGCACTCAGGAGGAAGAGACAGGTGGATCTCTGTGAGTTCAAGACCAAACTGGTCTACAAGGTGAGTTCCAGGACAGTTAGAGCTGTTACACTGAGAAACCCTGTCTGAAAAAACAAGCCAAAACAAAACAAAAAGTGATACAGGATACCATCCAACACGAGACAGGGTTTGAGCAGACTCACGGGGTAGGCATGCATGGCCAAGGGAAGAGAAATGAGTATAGTTCTAAAGCTGCTAAACACACAAACCATAGCAAACGACTGCGGGGACAGATGCTCCTCATCTGGAGACTCTCCGTGATGAGGTGACTGCACTTCACTTTCTTTAGAGATGCTCAAGGATGCTAAAAAGTTCTCAATTCCAGAGTGAGGCTAAAAGAGTAAATATTTTTTATGAATAAGATAGAAGAATCAAGTAGTAAAACGCTAGATTTCACTCTAAAAATTCAACTTTCACTCAATCATTTCCCTAAATGTAAAGTTTGGGAAGAGACATCTAATAAAGGATTTATTTATTTATTTACTTACTTACCTTATCAATCACATTTGGGTAACCAGCCACAACCTTCTGGGATTCTGAGGCTCCTGGACTTTCATTTCTCTTCAATAGTTTAATATTACATTTGGCAGACCCTCCAGAAGTCTGTAAGAAAGAATAAGTTTTTGTGCAAGTAAACTTACAGCTACTATTTTAACAGTGTTCTAAATAAATTGATCAAAGTATTTATTGATTTTCATGTGTGTTTTCCCTGCATGTATCTCAGTGCATCACTGTTTACGTGAGCTGCTGTGTGGGTGCTGGGAATTGAACCCAGGTCCTGTGGGAGAGCAAGCAGTGCTCGTAACTAGTGAGCCAACTCTCCAGCTCCAAGTACTGCTTTCTTTTAATGCCATAAGAAAAAAAGGGGGGAGAGGACGCTCTTAACTTGAATGGGGGAAATTATCTTTATTTTCATTAATCTGAGAATAAGATTTAGATTTATTTCAATCTCAAATATGGACAATAACCATGGACATGGACTGTGTGTTTGTGCTCCCCCATCTCAATCAGGAGGCAATCAGCTTCAGGAGGTCGTGTTCTCAAGATGGGATTAGCATTTGTAAAAGGAGAAAGAAAACAGTATGCTCTCTCTAACATGTCAGAATTTAAGACAGGAGCCTCTAACTAAAGGTCAATAAGGAAGTCCTTAGAGAATATAGACACTTACCAGATCCTAACTGTATTTCAGTACTGTTGTTTCTCTCAAATTTATGTATTTTACTTTACTATTTAAAAACATTATTTTGGCTGGGGTAGTCATACAAACTTCTAATCTCAGTACTCTTTTGAAGGTAGAGGCAAAAGGACCATGAGTTCAAGGCTAGCCTTACCTACCTACACAGTGAGTTAAGAGGTCAACTTGTGCTACAAGAGACCTTGTCTAAAAATAAGCATTTGCTCCCAAGCCTGGCCACCATTAAAAAAAAAATTTCAGTGGTAGAAACTGAATCAGGGCCCTCCACATAGTAGAGAAGCATTCACCATTATGCTTCCCAAGAGATCCACTCAAACATGTGCAGTAAAGCATGATACTTATGCATAAAAGTATACATAATCACTGGGTGGTGGTGGTGCAAACCCTTGATCCCAGCACTCAGGAGGCAGAGGCAGGCGGCTCTCTGTGAGTTCAAGCCCAGCCTGGTCTACAAGAGCTAGTTCCAGGACAGCCTCCAAAGCCACAGAGAAACCCTGACTCAGAAATGGAAACAAAAAAGTATACATAATCATGTATGCCAAAATTCTTTGATTCTTAACAGTCTACATGCTCTTTATTAAACAGTAGAGACTTTGTAAAACAAAATAAAATGTATGAGCTCAGCTCCCCCATTCTAATTCTATAAAATCTAACTTTTTAAATGTTGCTACCAGTGTATATACAAATAGACACTCTTGAATATTTTATAATATGTGAGAAAAATTTAAGCGAACAATAGTTTATTTCCATCTTAGAGATAAAGAACTTGAGGCTGTTAAGATTTGCTCAAGACCACCCAACTCTTAAGTGGTAAAATGAGGATGACCAATGTCTCTATTCTGAACCCTTGACTACAGCTGTGTAACCATCCATCCAAATGACTGTGACAATAGGTTTTGCCGCATTCCTTACAGATTGTTGAAAAGGCTGTAAAATTCACTTAGACGCTATACAACAGCCAAGTACATAAGAACACGTAGCTTTTAACAATTGCATTTCAAAAAAAAATTACCTGCTTATTGGATGACTTTTGTGTCTGGCACTCAGCTTTAGGAGTCTTATATTCTTCCTTAACTGGAGACAAGAAAACAGAGATTTTGGGAAGCAAAAGAGCTTACTAACCACCAGTTAAATTCATCAACTATTTGCCACAGCAAAACAGTTTTAAAGGATTTCAAGAAAGTGTATAATTTCCTCCTGTGTCTGTGCTGTCAGTGCTGGAGATCAAACCTAGGTGCTGGTCCATGCCAGCCAAGGGCTCGTTCACTGACCACAGCCCCAAATGAGAAGATGCATGAACTGAAGGAATTTATAACCCAGGTGAGATAGAGAAAGATAATTGCAGATGGTCAGATGGGAAAGGAAAGTGGCATCTGAACCAGGCATTGAAGAGTGGTAGGTTCTCCAAGTGCAAAAGAGGAGACTTGGAATACTAGGAAAAAAGATGTGAAAGCAGAAAGGACTAGAAAGGCCTGCACCTATGCAATTCTACATGGGTGAGTTCTGCGGGAGGATAAGGAGTAACACTGAGCTTAGTGGAACTAAAGAGGCACTTGAGTCATATGGAATTAAGTTGTAAGCAATGGGCAAGTATCACAGAAAGGTTCTGAGCAGGTAGTAATCTGATCAGAATTATAATTTAGTAAGATTAAATTATGAGATAAAAGGAGAGAGTAAGAGACAAATAAGTAAACTCTCAAAATTTTATTTCTGAAGTTCGGTGGTGGTGGTAGTGCATGCCTTTAATCCTGGCACTGGGAGGCAGAGGGAGGAGGACCTCAGAGTTTAAAGCCAGTTTGGTTCAGGACAGCCAGGGATACACAGAGAAACCCTGTTTAAAAAAAACAAAAGCAAAAGCAAAACAAACAACCTTTTTTTTTTTTTTTTGAGTTTATGGCATGTTTGTTTTTATGTATGCACATGTGCATGGAGGACAGATGTAAATAAGGGGTTTCTTCTTATCAATTCCCACTTTATTTTTCTGGATAGGGTCTCTCACTGAATCTGCAATTTCCCACCTGGCTAGAATGGTAGGTCAATGAACTCCATGGGTCTACCTCTCTCCACTCCTGCTCCCTCAGTGTGGGAATTGCAGGTAGCAGCCCCAGTGCCTGGTTTCGACATATGTGCCGAGGGTCTGAATTCAGGTCCTCATGCCTGTGCTACAGGCACATTAGTGACTGGAGTATCTCCCCAACCCCTAATCGCTTTATTTTGAGACAAGGTCTTAATATGTATCTTAGTTTGGCCTGGAAATTACTATGTAGCCCAAGGCTGGCCTTAAATTTGTGATCCAATCCTCATGACTCATCCTTTATAATGTTGGGATTATAGGTGTTTAGCATCATGCCCATAAAAAGTAACTTTTACCATTCCTGTTAAGAGGAAGCTAAGAGACAATAGAGGAAATAAGAAATTGAGAGATTATCTTTAGAAGATTTAGGAAATGAAAGGATATAGAGATGACGTACATGAAGGTAGGAAAAGGACAGCAGTTAGTGTGTAATCTATTACTAGATATGCTAGGTTATACAGTTGTTCTATAATTTTTCACTCTTTACCACTAGACTGTTTATTAAGCCAATGTGGAAAGGAAGGAATAAAATACTGGGCATGGCGACACATGCCTGTGATCCCAGCGTTTGGGTAGTGGAAGCAAGAAAGCTGCAGTTCAAAGTTATCTTTGGACACATAAGTGAGGTCCCAGCCAGGCAGGACTTTGGGAGATTCTGTGTCAAACAACAATAATGAAAACATTATCACTACACCAGCAGCAAATAGCAGGTGAGGAGAGAAGAAAGGAAAGGAGATACCGAGGGAAGAGCATGAAGAAAGTCACAGGACATGAGAAGGGAGAATAAAAAAGGGAAGAAAATAAGGAAGACAGGAAAGGAAGAAAATGAAAACGTGAGGACACACATGACTAGAAGCATTTGTTGAGGTTAGGCAAGAATGCTTGCTAAAAACCAAACAAACAAACAGAAATGAATATATGGCCAATGCCTTTAATTCCAGCACTCAGGAGGCAGAGGCACGTGGCTCTCTGTGAGTTCAAGGCCAGCCTGGTCTACACAGAAAGAGTTCCAAGACAGCCAGGGCTACACAGTGAAACCCTGGCTCGAGAACAAAAACAACCAGAAACAAAACAAAAACAAAAATCAAACAAACATAGCTTTATCAATAACAGGATCAAAAAGAATAATAGAGGAATAAATTTAACAGAAGAAAAAGTCTGGGGTTTCTGCACTGTAAATGATAACACATTAATGGAAGAAATTGGAACCAAATAAATGGAAAGGCATTTGTGTTCACAGGCAGGGAAGTGTAAGACACTGTATACAACAATGTGAGCTATGAAAACTACAGGCACATGTTTGAGGAAATAGATAAGATTATGGAAAATCTATATGGAAATGCAAAGACCCAGAATAAATGAAAGCATCTTGAAAAAGGCAAATAAAGATGGAGAACTAAAAAATGCTTGATTTCTACAAGAAAACTGCAGTAAGGAAGACAGCATGCTGTTTATATAGATGTGCACAGATCAGCGGGTTGGAAACAAGAGCCCACAAATCACCAAAAGACAAATACCTTGTTAATGCAATGGGGGAAAGAATAGTCTTTATGATAACTGAGCTGCAACAACTGGGCATCTCCATGCAGAAGCATAACTACCCATTCCTCATCACTTAAGACTTTATAAAATGATGATTGTATCTTATTTGTTACTCTGTCTCTGTACGTGTGTTGTGTGGGTGTGTGCATGCCATGGCACACACGCAGATCAGAGGATAACTCTGGGAGCTGTTTCTCTCCTTTCACCATGGGTGTCTTGGGGATTGAACTCAAGTTGCCAGGCTTGACCCACCTCACTTGCCTGATGAATTATTTTAAAGTATGAATTATATTTCAACAAAGTTGCTCAACAAACAAACAGACAAACAACAACACCAAAACAGACAGCACATCAACACTTTTCTACCTTAGAACTTACATTTTCGGTGAGGGTCATGTTTTCTTTGCTGAATTTTGACACCACTGTCATTAAAGCCAGATTTATGTGGCTGAGATACTTGACTTATTTCTTGAGGTAGAACTGCAACCTGAAAGTTAAAATTCTCAGAAATCATAACCAAATGTTATAACTTCAAAAAAATCTGAAATTTAATTCAATAAAAATTATACAGTTTATTAGAAAAGCACAGAAAACTATATATAATTTTAAAAACTGTCCCCAAACCACTCTGGATTAAGAATCATTAATCTAATGGCCACCACACCAGGATTCCTCTATGTGTTAGTTAGAAAACAAGATAAATTCCCTAAGTTCTCTTTTCAATAGAAATAATTCAATCTAACTTTACATTAAATTAACAAATATAGAAACTAAAGGAAATGCTAATCTTTGAATGTTTCTTCTTAATAGAAACTTCTTTAAATCTCTTTTTAAGATTTCCTTTATTTTAAGAGTATGGGAATTTTCCTGCATGTATGTCTATGCACCATGTATGTGTCTGGTGGTTAAGGAGTCAGAAGAGGGCATCAGATCCTCTGGAACTGGAGTAGCAGATGGTTGTGAGCCACAATTTGGCAATGGCAACCAAACCTAGGTTCTCTGCAAGAGCAACAAGTGTTCTTAACCGATGAGCCATCTCTCCAGCCCCCTAGAAACTTGTCTAAAAATTTCTCAAGATTTGTTTCCAAACAAACCCACTTTTAGTAGAAGTGGGGATAAGAAGTGGGTTGATAGGAGCAAGCTAAGGAATGGGGACAGGTAGATTCACCTGAATGATTCTCTCGAGTCATTAATATTAAAGGGTTTTCATTAAAAAGCTTTCAGATTAACGATTTTTCTTGCATTTTATGAAAGTTGAGGATATTATCTCATTTACACTCTTTTTTATGTTTCTTCCCCAATAACTGATTTAAAATTAATATTTATACTGCCAAATAAAACACATCTTTGCAACAAGATTGACCACAAAGCTGTAGTAATTAAGACACTTTATAAATAGGCATGATAGTGAAACGACATGATTAAGTTTCACATAAACATTTTATAAGATCATTTTTCATGTGTATGCATACTGTTGTGTGTATGTGCTTACATCATAATGTCAGCATGCCTCCCTCAATCACTTCTCCACCTAATTTCTTGACAAGGTCTCTCACTAAACCTGGAATTCACCATTTCAGCTAGACTTGACTGGCCAGCAAACCCATAGGATCTGCCTGTCTTCACAACCCCTAGTATTGTGGCTACAGACGTGACTTTTTATTTGAGTACTAGGGATCCAAATTCATGTTCAAGCATTCTACTCATTGAGCCAACTTTTTAATCTTGAAATCCTTTGTTTTTTGAAAGGAAAAGAAAGCCTGAGGGCAAAAAGAAACAACTTGCTATAGCTGAATTTGCAAGAGGAAGTAAAAGCAGAGGCTGGGAAACTTTAACACAAAGTAATTTTCATCATTTTGCTCTTGGCAAGTCCTATTTATTTTCAATTCTGGGCACATTGTGTACAAAGGCACATCATATCCTAGCAGGCACTGATCTTGACCTAAAACACTTGTGATATAGGATGGAGTTTGGGGAAAAAAACCTCAGTGAGTTCACATACACAGCATCAGCCAAGGCTCTTTTTTCATTACTAGTCACATGGCATGAGATTCTACCATCATAGCAAGACAGCTGGTAGAGCTTTTGGGAACAGTAGTACTTTCTAAGAGGTTTGGGTCTAAGAAAGGGAATGAGAACATAAGGACCAATAGATAGGTATACATAAATATCATGTGCCTATTACTGCTAGGAATGTTAAATGTATTTTGCTCTTATTACCTCAGTATCATTATAGTAATGCTACCATCATAATAATGTTATGACATATTTTTATTTTGTCTTACATGTAAACAAACTGAAGTCCACAGTGATAATTTTATTGAGTAATTACTTATATATGAGCTCAAAGTCCAAAATTTAAGTTTAAAGTATGTTGAAAAACATATATATTCTAAATGGAAAGCAAATATTATAGTTGTGAATAGTTCTTTGGGTCATTTTTTTTTTTTTTTTTTTTTTAACGAGACAGGGTTTCTCTGTATTGTTTTGGAGGCTATTGGTCCAGCCCGGCCTCGAACTCACAGAGATCCGCCTGCCTCTGCCTCCCGAGTGCTGGGATTAAAGGCGTGTGCCACCACCGCCTGGCGGGTCATTTTTTAATTAATAGAAAAAACCCTTACTATTTATGTGTGTATGTCCACGTGCTGGAGTTAGAGGTGTTTGTGAGCTGCCTGACATAGGCTCCGGGAACCAAACTTGAGTCTTTGCAATTAGCAGAACCCACCACTCTTAACTGTGAGGCACCTCTTCGGGTTCTTCTGTTTGATGTCTATGTAAAGACATTTGTGTTGGGCATACTGCTATATATTGCTAAGGATTGCCTGAATTTTTTTTTTAAACTCTTCATGAGTTCTCTAGAATTTGCTTAAGCTCAGCTTCTTCTTCTTCCTCATCTTCTTGGTTTTTTGAGACTGGTTTCTCTGTATAGCTCTGGCTGCCCTGGAACTACCTATGGAGAACAGGCTAGCCTAGAACTCATATTCACCTGTCTCTACCTCCTGAGTGCTAGGATAAAGGCGTGTACCACCATGCCTGACCAAGCTCAGCTTCTTAATACTTCATGGGTTTAAAAGTGTTGATTTAGGTAGCTTACAATACTTGGAATATACAGGAGATAGACAAGACATGACTGTGTTCAGCTGAAATAAGTTGTATGTGATAACAGAAATTACATACAGATTATAAAACAATATCTCAAGGAAAGAACAGGCTTGAGCCAGACCTAGAAGAACTAGCAGTAAAGAAAGAAGGCATGTTCTAAGTAGACAAAAAGAACCCACAATCCCAAATGGGAATCATTTGTGGGAAATGGAAAGTAAAGAGTGCTATCTGAAAACATTATTTTATTCAATTGTTGGACATTATGTGAATTAGTACAGATCTCGGACTTGAGTTCTCAGAGGTTTCTGGTCTTAGAGAAAGAATTCAAAGAAAGACAGAGAAGAGACTGGACAATGACAGGTTTGTTAGAGCAAAACACCAGAGCACTCTCAAGACAGAGGGCAGGCGGCTCGAGAGTCAGGGTCTGTCATGATGCCCTCTGAAGCCTGGGTTTTTCATGTATCCTAGATCTTTCCATCCATCTAGTAGGGGGGCTGTTTTTATCTTGAATGGCCCCACAAGGACTGTCATACCACATGTTATGTACACTGCAATGAAGTCACAGATATACTTTTAAAAGCTAATTTCAATGCCATTGTTTTTGGCCAGTTATTTAATAACTCTCTACCTGTCTTCCACATCAGTTGTAGATTACAAAAGACCTTATGAATGGAAGAACTCATGCTGAAATACAATGGTACTGAACTGGGTGCCCAATGCGTTCAAAATTATTAGAGTGACACAGTTTTAGGGCTGGCAAAGATATCAGCGGTCTCCAATGCCTTTACCATATATGTGTGATCATCGCAGTTCAAAGAAGCACATTTGTGAAACTTGTATAATGAAATCTGAATTCCGGAACCTGAGGTTCAGTATTTACTACAATCTACTGCTACAGGGCACAAAGTGATTTTTGACCCAGAAGAAACCTTACCCAATATGCCTTGAGGCCTATACAGGTGAAAGGCTCTTTCAGAAGATTAGGAACTATTATATATAAAGAACTCTAAATGAAAGAGCTAGCATATGGGAGAACATAAACTAGAGTTTAGGTGAGGCCTGTGAAAAACTCTAAAGTCTAACTGTGGGAACTGAACAGTTCAAGGATTTAGGAAACAGAAGACAACAACTTTTTGTCTTGTTTCAAAGTGCCAGGGGAAACCCATGGAAGATTAGGGAGCTCTACATCACTGCCTGCAGTCTCAGACCTCTTCATAATCTTTGTAAACGTTTGCTTACTACCAGTAAACACTGTATATTCAAGTGGGGAATATAAGTTAATGAATGCCATTAAGGACTTTATTAAATTCAAAATGTAATTATTACATTTTTGTGAACAAATAAAAATTATGCCAAAACTCATTATATTCCCACTTACTGGCCCAAATTTATGTGTGCCTAAAAGGAATTATGAAAACTCATGATTGAAACTGTCATGAAATTTAGAGAGAAATAGATCACAGTAAATGGAAAGAAACTAACCTTTTCTTGTACCGTTGGCTGAAGGTGTTGAATTTTTCCAGATCCCTGTAGAGATTGCCAAATGTTGCAAAATTCATCATCACCTTTTGGAGGTACCTAATAAATAAACAAAAATTATAAAAAATATGATATTAAAAATAAAACTATTTATTAAAATTACTGAGTGATAAATAGGATACTTAACTTTCACTATTTGAACTTTCCAGTTTCCCTGCTCTGGAGATGAGTATAGTAACTGTTAAAGCACTATACTGGAATGTAACTAGTCTTCATAAATATATGTTCTCAATGCTCCAAGCCAACCATAGTATTAAGATGATACATATAGGTGGAGGTAGGAAGATCATGAGTCTGAGGTCAGCCTCAACTGTGTAACAAGTCTGAAGCCAATCTGGGCTTATGTGAGACCCTGTCTCAAACTTCCCTTCAAAGGATGATAAAAATATCCCCACCACCAGATTTATATTTTGTTTTCTTATTTGTTAATCTATTAACTTACTCAATCTTACACCTATAGACTTTATTTGAAAACCTTCACCTTTGCTGGCCTGGTGGTACACACCTAGAATTCCAATATTTGGGTGGTGTCATTGAGAACATGAATTCCAGGCCAGGGTGAGCTACCCAGTAAGAACCTGCCTAAAAACAAACAAATCTCCACCTAACACAAAAATAATCTAATAAATTTTAAAACTAGTAGAGTAGGTTTCATACAGATTAAGACTGGAAAAATCATGCACCAAAACTTAACACTGGGTCAGTGGAGGTGGCGCTTGCCTTTAGGTCCAGAACTTAGGAGGTAGAAGCCGCAGCAGGAAGAGCTCTCTGAGTTCAGCCTGATCCACTCTATATATAACAGTTATATATATATATATATATATATATATATATATATACACACATATATATATCCAGTTATATATAACTATATATAACTAGGCCAGCCATAGCTACATAGTGAGACCCTGCTCAAACCAACCAACCAAACAAACCCCCAAAGAAGAAAAATTCAATTGTAGTTACTTGTATAATTAGGATTTTGTTTGTGTTTATTTACAACTAATTACTTGTTTTTTGAACTGCTTTATAATAAACATATATCAGTTTTGCAATGATAAATGATACATGGCATTGCGCTAAAAAATATGGCCAAACCCAAGACTTGGGACCATGGAATTAAAACTGTTTCACAGACAATAACCTCATTTTTATGCTCAGAAAGATGAAGAACATGATCATAAATGTATGGCAGGAATGTGAAACTTGCCTCTTGTTAGGTTTGCACAGAAGGGCCTCAATCTCATGTAGTGGAGGATGACCTCAACACCTGAGTCCCATGCCTCCAACTTCCAAGTACTAGGACCATAGGTATGTGTTATCACATCTAAGCTTGAAACTTGTTTTTTATGAGTATGACATAATCATATCTCCATTATAGCTCAAATTTATTGTCACTCATAAGAGGTATCATAGGGCATTTAGATTATACAAGAAATTTAAATGTTGTGCTAGTCAGTTTTATGCCAATGCAAAAGATGGAGTCATTTGGGAAAAGGGAGTCTCAATTGGGAAAATCCCTGGAGGTAAGCTTATAGTACATTTTCCTGATTGATATGGGAGGGCCTAGCTTACTGTGGGCAATACCACCCCTTAGGCTGGTGATCCTGGATGCTATAAGAAAGCAAACTGAGCCAGTTGGTGGTGGCACACACCTTTAATCCTAAAACTCTGGAGGCAGAGGCAAGCAGATCTCTGTGAGCTGGTCTACAGAGTGAGTTCCAGGACAGCCAAGGTTACATAGAGAAACCCTGTCTTGAAAAAACAAAACCTCACAAAACAAACAAATAAAACAAATGAAAGCAAGCAAGCAAGCAAACTGAGCAAGTCAGTAAGCAGCACTCACTCTTCCATAGCCTCTAAATCATCTCCAGCCTCCAGGTTCTAGCCCTGTTTCATTTCCTGTCCTGACTTCCTTCATGATGGACTGAGACATGGAACTGGAAGCTGAAATAAACCCTTTCCTCCCCAAGTTGCTTTTAGTCGTGGTATTTGATCATAGCAATAGACACCCTAACTAAAACAAGTATCAATTACAAAATAACTATATTAAGAGAAAACAAGAATATTCTGGAGCTTGTTATTTAGATAATATATTCCTTCTTTGCTGTAAGTATAACTTTATAATAGAGGTAGAATACTGTTAATAGTGTCAAGAATATTCATTTTGTTTGTTGTTGATACAGGACGTCAGTTTGTAGATGACCAGGAACACAGCATATGTGGTTAGGGTAACATCCTACTTCATCCTTCCAAGTGCTAGAACTAAAGGTGTATGTATCTAGCTAGGTGGTGGTGGCACATGCCTTTAATCCCAGCACTCAAGAAGCAGAGGCAGGAGACTAGTTTATAGAGCAATTTCCAGGAAGTCAGGGATACACAGAGAAACCCTGTCTCAGAAAAACAAAACAGAGCAAAAGAATAAACAAACAAATGGTATGTGTATCTTTACATCAGGCTTTGTACCAATTTTTTTAAGTCAAAAAAGAAAACTCAGTCAAATGAAGTTCCACTTAGGAGTTCTCTATGATTTTTGATTTGCAAAGAGTGGGAGAAATAAAGAATGAGAACCTTACTTGAGTAGGGACAAAAAGTGACTGGGGAGAATGGTTGAGGCCTCCCAAGTGCCCAGATGAAACAGATGAGTTTGAGCTGGAGTAATTCATTGCTGGTTGTGGTTTCACAATGGCTGTCAACTTCTGATTTCCAGTTTCAAATCGACTCCCATGAGAAAGGTTCACCAAGGCACTTGTTGGCAGTCGGTAACCCCTACCAGGTGAGCACCTACAATTAAAAAGTTAGTTTAGGGCTGGAGAGATGGCTCAGCGGTTAAGATCACTGGCTGCTTTTCCTGAGTTCAATTCCCAGCAACCAAATGGTAGCTCACAACCATCCGTAATGAGATCTGGTGCTCTTTTCTGGTGTGTGGGTGGACATGTAAGCAGAACACTGTATACATAATTAATAAATCTTTAAAAAAGTTAGTTTAGTAGTGGGTCTGGTTGTACATGCCTATAATGCTAGAAGTTGACAGGTATGAGTAGAAAGATTAGGGGTTCAAAGTCATCTTCAGACACAAAGGCAGTTCAAGGCCGTGAGTTCTACAGAGCAAGACCTTGCCTCAAAAAATGGGGAAGAAAAACAAACAAACAAAAAATATATTGGAAATGTAACTCAAGGTTGGATCCCTGTACTTGAGAAAAGGGAAGGGGAGAAGTCTTTTTGTCAACTCTTAACTTTATTACCTAATACTTTCTTCTTTCATCTTCTTTTCTGAAGGACATTGAAAAAGTAGAGTTCTTTTGTGAGTTTCAAGTTGCTACAATGTATGTGTTTTCATGAGAACTTACTACTGATTCTGCATTAAAAACTACTCACATGCAGTAATCTTTCACCCAGCTCTTTATCAGATGCCCTTAATTAGGAGAAAAAGATACTAAGAAAATACCGCCACCACCAAGCTAGGCCTGCTGGTGCATGCCCGTATCATGGCGGCCATAGAGGATGAGTAAGGGACAGCAGGTGCACAAAGCCAGGCCTGCTACATTTCAAATTTGAAACTAATCTGCCTACATGAAACCTTTTGTCAAAGAAATTAAAACAATGAAAAAGAAAACAAAACACAAATCGTAAAACATACAGGTCATTTTGACAGCATTCTGTCACATGGCTGTCGGTCATTCCTGCATTTGGAATGTAGAGCAAAGAAGATCTTGGGTTTAAGGCCAACTCTGATCAAGATCTTGTCTCAAAACAAACACACACAAGAGAAAACAAAAAGTCATGTAATACATATACTAAATACAAATGGGAGTTATAGCCAAACAACTGAATAAGAGATCCAAATTCTGTTGCCACATTTGAAGAGCACAAACAGGAAGGCCTTATAGGAAGAACCATATTCAAATTTCAAATAATAAAAAGTCTTCTGTTACTGAGTGTGCACATGGGCATGAGGTCAGAGGACAGCTTATGCAATCGTCTCTCCTTCCCCAGCTTCAGTTGTGTCCTGGGGATAGGACACATTGCCAGGCTTGGGTAGCAATCACCTATACCTGCTGCATCATCTAGCTGGCCCAATAATGGCATCTTGTAGAAACCACTCAGTATAGACAAGATTTTATATCAAAAGTAGTGTTAAAATTAATTGCCCATAACCAAAACACAGATGCAAAGGAAATTAAGTTCATGTCAGCTTTGCAGTTACAGTTTAGAAAGAAAAGTTGGAAAAGGATCCAATTTCCTCCTCCCAATATTCTAGTAATCTTTAATACATAATCTAAGTGAGACAGCTCATCCTAACTAGTGTCTCCTGTAACTTTAAACTTTGTAATTTGTGAACTTAAACTTTGTATTAGAGCTTCCTCAAAATGACATCTGACTTCATTTGTTTTTAAATACAAATGACTCAACTCTACTGCTTTAAACCCGGTAACTTATGCTGGGTGGTGGTGGTTGGACCTCACCTTTAATCCCAGCACTAAGGAGACACAGATAGATGCATCTCTGTGAGTTTGAGGCCAGTGTGGTCTACAGAGTGAGTGCCAGGACAGGCTCCAAATCTACAGAGAAACCCTGTCTCAAAAAACCCCAAAAGCCAAAAGAACCCAAAAACAAAACAAAACAAACAAAAAACTAACCTAAACCTGGTAACTTCCAATGACTGCTTTTCTTTTTCAGAGTTAAATTTCCTGTCTCCATTACTAGATTGCCATTCATTTCTCAAGCCACTACAATCTGGCTAGGCACCTATAACTCCACTCCATTAGACAACAAAGACTTACATGTCATTGAATCCAGCTAGCTCTACTCCTCAAGTCATTTAACTAGAAAATGTTCTTTGTTACATATTCCATCCTGCCTTCCTGAGTACTTTTAATTCTGTTCTTCCGTCTTAGCCCAGTTAACCACTATTCATCTACTTGCCACATTTTAATTAAACAATATAGTCAGTTGCTGAATCTCCTTTGCTAAATGAAAACTCCAGAGGGCAGACAGGTGTCTTACTGACTGTTATAATACTAGGAGCAATTATGATGTCAAATTATGGGCAAACACATTTAAAAGTAACACAGCATCAGTGAGATCCTGCTTGGGCTATTCACAAGGTACAATTACTATTTGGAAATACAAACCTTATTGTTAAGCCTCCAGGAAACTCCTCATCAAATAATACTTCAAATAGGACATCAGCTTCTCTACTAGCTGTTGAAGATGAAGGGAGGGAGTCAGACCGAGAGGCCAGTAGTAAGGTGCCCAGAAGCTTTTGCTTTATTTTAAACATTCACAAAAACATTTTAATATGAAGAATGACACAGAAACACACAGACTGTCATCCAAAGCAAGAAACAATGCAAACGCCTTAGAAGACCATTGTGTCCCTAAAAGGCAACCACAGCTTTTACCCTAGCAGTTTAGTTTCCTATACACATATTTACACTTTTACTGTCTGTGGACATATCTGAAATAATGTATAGCAGTGTTTTGCAAGTTCATTATACATATCTAAACTATGTAATGTAATACATTTTACCATATATAATTAAAGAAGCAATAAATGAGACAATTATTCTCAAATTATTGTGTCATTTTGTAATAAACACCTTATTAATCAGGAAACTACTAAAATAGAAAAGTGAATATATCTAAAACTTTTTTTTTGGTATTTTTTGAGACAGGGTTTCTCTGTATTGTTTTGGAGGTTGTCCTGGAACTCGCTCTGTAGACCAGGCTGGCCTCGAACTCACAGAGATCCGCCTGCCTCTGCCTCCCAAGTGCTGGAATTAAAGGCGTTTGCCACCAACGCCCAGCTTAAAATTTTATTTAAATAAGATGATATAGCTTATATCTCTTTTGTCTGGCTTATTTCAGCACAATTAAGAGCCATCCATTTCAGGGCTGGAGAGATAGCTCAGTGGTTAAGAGCACCAGCTGCTCTTCCAGAGGACCTGAGTTCAATTCCCAGCAACCACATGGTGGCTCACAACCAGCTGTAATGAGATCTGGTACCTTCTTCTGGTGTGCAGGTATACATGCAGGCAGACACTGTATGCATAATAAGTAAATAAGTCTTTAAAAAAAGTGCCATCCGTTACGAATGTATCATTTTTTCTTTTTCCTTTTCTTTGTTGAGAAGCATTTTATTACATAGCATATAGCATCTAGTTTATCCATTCACTTACTGGCAAATATTTGGATTTTTTTTTCTAATTTTTTATTATCATACAAGGCTTGGTGTAAATTCAAGCCTTGTTTTCTCCTGGGTTGGTATCTAGGAATGGAATGACTGAGTCAGATGGTGTATGTTCACATTTTAAGTACTTATAGCTGGTGAAATGACCTGAGTACAATCCCCAGGACCCAAATGGTAGAAAGAGAGAATGATTCCTGCAAATTATCCTTTGCCCTCCACACATCACTGTGCACTCAAGTGAGCAAACGCACATTGCCTCATGGTGTTCATCACAGCAATGGAAACCCTAACTAATACCCAAGATTTTATGAGTTCTTGGGATGGAACTTGGGCCCATATGCTTATTAGCAAGCCTATCCCCATTTTCATATTTTTCAGACAAAGTCTCAATCTGTAGCTTAGAATGGCCTGGAATTCTCTATGTATCCAAGATAACCTTGTACCTGTGGTAATCTACCTCTTCAGCTTCCCAAGTGTTGCGATTGCAAGTGTAGACAACCACAACTAGCTATAATCTAGTTGTACTCATAAAAGTCAAATTAATATGCACAATCATCTAAAATCTTTTCCCTGTAAGTAGCATAGTGTTTATTTTGAGAGCTTTCCAGATTATCACGCTTATTCAAACTATAGATTATAAATTGAGGGAAAACTATGAATAAGATTAGTTAAAAGTATAAGATGTGATGAAAATTTCCTAAGTACACCCTTTAGAGCTTGTTTAATTTTAGTGTGATATACATAAACTACCAAGTTATAAACAGATCTTCTCAACTTCCCTGCCATTCATCTACTTCTCAGATGATTATGTGAAACAGAAAGAGAATTTTCTCTACAATTCCCTCAAAAATAAACAGATTTTGCCCTTTCTTTGATTTATTTTCTGCTTAGATGAACACAACACACAAGACTATGTTCTGCTTCACAATGTGAATGCAGTTGAAGACATCAAGTATTGAAGTCTTACCTCCTTTAATTCCAATGACGGTGCCTCGGAGGCCGACTGGCACTGAGAAGTTCTCTCTCACGTTTACAACACGATCAAACAGACGGAACTCGGCATCCCGGTCAGGGATGACTCCATGCTGCTGCTCCAAAGGCTGAAAAGAAGACAGCATGCATTCTAAGGAAAGAGCCCCCTTGTCCCACTGGAAGCCTCCTGTCTGTCTGTGGAGGCATAGTGTTATGGAACCCAGGCTGAGTGCAAACTTCTCCAGACTCAGCCATCTTTTGACTCCATCTCCTGAGTGTTGGGATTATAGGCATGTCACCATGCAGGCAAAGTGAAAAACAGCAACTTTGTACTTACTCTGTACAGCAGATGGGGCTTCACTGTCACTCGCACTTTCTTATTATTCTTTCTTTGCTGAATAAGAAAAAAATTCAAATGAGAATTATAAAACCATTCACTAGTTCTAACATCTATGAATTTTAGAAAGCAAAAAAAGGTATTAATCTTAAGAATACCTAAAGTTTTGTACCTGCAGGAGTGAAATACAAATTCATGAGATGAATACAGCCTAAATTCTTTTTTTGTTTGTTTGTTTTTTTTTCGAGACAGGGTTTCTCTGTATTGTTTTGGAGGTTGTCCTGGAACTAGCTCTTGTAGACCAGGCTGGCCTCGAACTCACAGAGATCCACCTGTCTCTGCCTCCTGAGTGCTGGGATTAAAAGTGTGTGCCACAAATGCCTGGCTCCATCCTAAATTCCTAAATCTTGTTATTTTAGTTATTATGTGTTGAGTTGGTTCTCCCCTTTATTTTTATGAATAGTCCAGAGATCAAACTTCAATCATTGGGTGGCAAGTGCCTGTTACCTGATAAGCCATCTTGTTCCCTAATTTTTGAAGTAGAGTCTCAGTATGTAGACCTGGTTGTGCTGGAACTTGCTGTGTAAACCAGACGGGCCTTGAAATCACAGAGATCCACTTGCCTCTGCCTGCCAAATGTTGGGATTAAAGGTATATGCCATGGCTCTAAATTCTTATTTATAAGTTTTAAAGTAAAATATCTAAATTAATTTACTTATATTTTTAATTTTTTGTGTATGCATGTACATATGTGTCATGGTCTAGGAATGGAGCTATAAGGACAACTTGAAGGAGTCAGTGTTCTTCTCTCATTACGTGGGCCCTGGGTATTAAATCTCTGGTCACTGGATTTGATGGCAAGCATTTCTACCACTGAGCCATCTCACTGGCCCCAGGAAATTGTTTTGAAGTATAAAACAGAAAAATTCAAAGTTAGAAGTACACGTGGATAAATTATTTTAGACTACTCAAGTGCAGTAGTGAGAAGGGATATAAGATTAATCTTCACAGCATGAACAGATTTGCGAAGTGTCGTGTCCTCTCTTTGACATACTCCTGAACCTAGATCTGACATCCATAGCCCTTGCAGTCAAGTTTATAGGCATCTTCTAAAGGTCTAGTTTTACCTACAATTGTGACAATCTGTAGTCAAAACCAACCCATTTCATACTTACAGGAAAGAAAAAAAATACATGAAATATTCTTTCTAAATATGATATCATGTGTCTATGTAATTTTGCTTTTAAAATTAATTTTTAAAATAAATTAATAATTTTTTTGAATTTAAAAATAAACAAATAAAAACTTTTCCAAAAGATGCAGAAAAATAAATAATAAATGTTCCTGGCCAGGAATAGTTACATGTAAGCAAATGTCACTTCCCTTAAAGAATGTAGTTTCTCATATTGTCCTCTATGCCTCTGTCAGAACTACAGGCAGAGTACAATGCAGCCTCTCACCTGCTCAGGGCTCAGGAAACTAGGCATTGTTCTGAGGCTATGCATAGGCGATCTTCTGCATATCAGAACCCAATAGACCCAGTTTATTTCTTTTCCTTTCAATAGGGTCTTGCTATGTAGTCACAGCTGGCCGGGAACTTGCTAAGAATGAGCCGGGTTTACATTTATGGCAGTCCTCCTGTAGCACGCCACTGCATCCCGTGTGCTGGGATTACAGGTGGTACCACCACATCTGGCTTTTCAGAGCCAGTACTTACCAGGATTCCATGGTGGTTTACTTGTACCTTAAAGCTGAAGGACCACTGCACTTGAATAGAACCCAGAATGTTTAAAAATATCCTTCCAGTATGAGAACTACTGTGTATGTGTGTGATTTAATCCAAATCTCAGACATTTAGGCAAGTGCTCTGCTAATGAAGCATATCCTAGTCTAAAAGTTACTGATATATTCACTGGATGATGGCTCTGTATTAGAAAGAAGTTTATATCATTTCCTTTCCTTATTACTATAACAACATACTAAAACCCTAATTGCACTCCTTTCACACATAAATATGCTTTAAATTCTTGTCTTACTTAAATGCAATAAACTATAATTTTGAGTATTTTAGGTTTGCAAAATAAAGAAAAATGGGTAAAACACTGTTATATTGTGTGTGAATATATGAATGAATATATATGTCTGTGCTTGCAGACACACATGGGGAGGCTGGAGGATATCGGATATCCTCCTCCAGCATGCTCTGCTTTAGACTTTGAGACAGGGTTACCTTTCCAATCCCCACCCCCAACAAGACTGGCAGCTACCACACTTCAGAAATCCTGTCTGCCTCCTAACCTCTGCTGTACCCCTGTACTCCCATGTAGTGCTGGGGTTACAGGCATATGTGCCCATGCCTGGTCTTCTATGGGACTCAGTTCTATGGGAACTCAGGCCCTCAGGCTTGCACAGCAACCAAACCTACCCAGTGAGCCATCTTCCCAGCCCTGCTTTTATTTTTGAGACAGGGTCTTACTCTAGCCCTCGCTGTCCTGGAACTCACTAATACAAACAAGGCAGGCCTCAGACTAGAGCAATTCTCCTATGACAGCTTCATAAGTTCTGGGATCACAGATGGGAGCATCATAGAATCCTTTGTATCCAAATGAGCTCACTGTCCTGAAAAAAGTTTTTAAATATTTATTTTAAAGTGTGTATAGATGTTTGCCTGTGGTATGTCAATATACCACAGGCATGCAGTGTCTACAGAAGGCAGAAGTGGGAGTTGGAGCCTCTGGAACTGAAGTTATAGATGGTTTTAAGACACTATGTAGGTGCTGGGAACTAAAGCCAGGTCCTCTCCAAGAGCATCAAGTGCTCTTAACCATGGAACCACTTCTCCAGTTCCTACCCTGAATAACTGAACTCTTAGCGCTGATGATATCTCAGTGGCAATGTCCTTGTCTAACTCAAAGTATTGAAAACAAAGCAAAACACGGATGTGAGTCTATTAATTATTCTTCTAAGTGGAAAAGTCATGTAGTTGTGGTTTTCATGGCTATTACCACAGTGTTTTTAGTTTATGCCACAGGAATGAAAACACTACTACCACCAGCATTCATAGCAGCTGTGTACTGTGAGCAGACTTTTTAAAAGGTTTCTCTGTGTAGCCCTGGCTGTCCTGGAACTCAATCTGGCTCTCTTACCTTTACTTCTGGAGTGCTGAGATTATGGGCATATACCACCATACTTGGCTTGATGTGGTGTTGGGATAAGATCAGGCCTTTGTGTATTCTAGGAAGACTCTTGTCAACTGAGCCACATTCCCAGTCCTGAGAAAACATGTTCTATCCCAGCCGGTTTTACTGATGATCATAGTTTATGAAGTAGGCATTATTTTATTACTGATTTACCAAAGATGAAATAGAGGCACGAAAATAATTAAAATATTTACAATCTTTTACAAGTTCAAGGGGTCAGGAATGGCTCCTGAGCCCAAGTCTTAACTGATTGTGTATTAATTTAAAAAGAAAGTGTGTTATCAAAGCATCATTAATAAAAAAGCAAATTAGGAGAAATTAAAGTTTAAACAATATCATTATAACAATCCACTTCTATTGTACCATTTATTTAAAAAGGATAAAATAGGCTAAGTCAACTATGTAAGTTTGTTGCTTTGAAACAGCAGAGTAGAAAAGACAAGAGAGCAGTGTGTGTGTCTGTGTGTGCATGTCCCTGGGGGAGTGCATGGAGCATGCGCTAAATGTGGAGGTCAGAGGACAACTATAGGGGAGCTGGTTCTCTCCTTCCACCATGTGTGCCCAGGGATCGACTTCACCTCATCTGGCACCTTTACCCACTGAGCCATCTCATTAACTCTAAATTGTCTTTAAAGAATGTAATTACAATCGTAAACAAAAGGAAATCATCATTATTTCTCATCCACAAACTTTCTAGTGTGACTAGAATTATAAAATTAGAAATATTACAAAGAAACAAACTTCAAAATTTATAGTTTTGGCACACTGAAGTATGTTCACACTTACTGGTTTAAATTTCCTAATGGTTGCTGGAAATGCTACAGGATTATTCAGTATTAATGAGAATCATTAAGTACATACATGAGTTGGTGGAAACACAGACAAACGATAACATGCTGTCCATTTTAATTTCAGCTCTCATCAGTAACCATAGTTACTGAAAGTTAGTACCTTGCACTTCTCAACTTCTTCCTCTATTTTTTCAACAATGGCTGCATCCAAAATGTGTAAATCACAAGAAGAACGGGACAGCGTGCTCACAGGATGTCCTTTTAGCCAAGTAATAATTTCTTGAACTTTCTCAGCACTACAATAAAAACAGTAGTAATTTTTCACACTGATTAAAACTTTCTGAGGGCTTATATACGGATCTGATAACAACTTTCTGGGATCTGCAAATTATCAGATTTAAGAAATTTAAATAAAAAATAAAGCAATATAAAAAAAGGTAACATTAGCTGAACTTCCAAATGGAAACCTGGAATTGAACTATGGGGCAATAAGTACCATAAATATTCTCATAGAGATCCACCTGCCTCTGCCTCCCAAGTGCTGGGATTAAAGGTGTGCAGCACCAACGCCTGGCAAGTACCACAAATCTTGCTTACCCATTCTCATTTTCTCCGGGCCAGATGTCATCTTCATAGAACACATCCTCTTGGCTGTTTTTGGCTATATAACTGAACAGTTCCGGAGCTCTAGTCAACAAAGAAAATATTGCTTTAAAATATGCAATTATCTTCATGTAAACTTCCCATTAAGTGTTTTGGATTTTAATGGGAACATGTGGAATATTCTGAGGATTATTATAGTATTACTAAGGGGTAGTATTAATAAGGAATGAGACTGAAAGGTTTGATAGAGTATTCCTATAGCTCCAAGAAAATTCCTATTGGCTGAGTGAGAAATGGTTCAATTAACTAAAAATCCAATTATGATTCTGATTCTTCTTTGATTAAAACATGAGGGATTAGATGCATGAAAATAGTATTTGTGAATTCATCTTTTTTTCCTTATAGATACTATACAGCATGTCAGGAGCATGACATCTCTAGGAAGCAGACTCTGAGAAGGAGACAGACATGGATTAAAGACAGGATTCCTATGTAACCAAGGGTAACTTCCTGTTCCAGTTTTCTTAGTGCTGGAATAACAACTGTGCTACAATAATATATAGGTTTTAAAAGTTAATTTTCTAATTTTTGTAACAAAGCTGGAACATTTCATAATGTAGCAAATTAAAAGTTTATAAATTTCTTCTGATATTCTTCAAAATTACATTTCTTTTGGAATCATGTAGAACTCTGAGCATCCAAGCAGAGTGCCCAATTCATTAAATATAATAAAGTAGAAAACTGGACATACACCAAAAAAGAGAAATTAAAAGAAATGGAGTATGTAATGTCCTACAATCGGGGAACAAACTTTTAGAAATTAGACACTGGAATGATGAGATTCAGCTGAACTTATGGACAGGAATAAGAAGAATAAACAAATAGGGCAAGTCACGAGATGAAAGAGCAGCTGCCAATCACAAAAAGGTCAAACACTTCTGCCTAGGGTTTCATGAGCTATACTAAACTCAAGTTTCTTACTAATTCAGTCTTTCACTTATGGACTGCTCTTTAGCTATGCACAATAAACTAATACAATTGAAAAAAAAAGGGTAAGCAAAAAAAATCTAAGTTGTTTTTTGAATCTATAAACACTCAGGAATTTTGGGCTTCAGGCATATTTAATAGCATTTACATTGAAAATGTATATAGCAAGCAGTTGGAATAGACCTGCACTAATACCTAACAGCTATATTTTAGACAGGTCAGCCAAAAAATACCCTAGCATTGGTTATAGTAGAGACAGAGAGCTGTAGTGGGTAGGGATGGTACAAGGGACAAAGGATAGGTGCTGTACTGTAGTGGAATTCATGCACATGTAGATACTATACAGCATGTCAGGAGCATCACATCTCTAGGAAGCAGACTCTGAGAAGGAGACAGACAGGCAGAAATTTAGTGGGGAGACTGGTGAAATCAACACTTGTAGGAAGGGAAAAGAAAACAAGCAGAACTGGGCAATGGAAACAGGAAGATGTTGTGCTGTGAGTTGTTCTCAGTGAATTTCCTGGCCAGTCCCACAAAGGTCTCAAACTAGGATAGCCCTTCACATTTGTCCTGGATGGGGCAGGCAGGTTGCTTTTGCTTTTATATCTCCTACACGAGGTACTATGTTGTGGAAAGGGAACATGACTATAGATGAGGTAGTTCACTTTATCTACAAAACTCCAGAAGAGAGTTTGCAGATGAGGGCTGTTAGCAGCATTGCCTCTATCAGAGGAAAAGATCCTTCAGTCTAAGAAAGATCTGGGTGGGTGGGAAGTAATCACAGAATCCATGGGGCAACAAAACCCATTTTACCTGGTTAATTTCCAGAATACTAGCAGTTTTGTTCCTTACATCCATCATGCAAGGAAAAGGCTAGAAGATACCTCTCTAGGAAAAATTAGCCAGTTAGAAGATATACATACAGGGCAATGATATTAGACGGTTGTTTTTAGAAATAGTAATGTCCCATGTGAAAGTCCCACCCAAATGCACTAAATTCCTAATAGACTTTTTGTACATCCTTTTAATACAGACACCAAGAAGCACTAGAAAGTGGAGAAAAAAAATCTCTAACATAAAAGGTGCAATAAATCAAATAGAGGAGAAAAACATAATTTGGAGAAAATGGAAATAGAAAGACTTTTCAGGGGCTCACAAGTGCCTCTAACTCCAGTTCCAGGGGATCTGATGCTTTCTTCTGGCCTCTGCAGGCACGCACAAACATGTGCTATATGCAGTCACACTAAAAAAAAAAGACCCCTCCTCTATGTATGTACATATATGATGAATGATTGTTGACACATGCCTATAATGCCAGCACTCTGGAGGGTGAGGCAGGAGGATTACAAGTTTCAGGCTAGTCTGTACTCTTTTTGAGTTTGAGGCCAGCCTGACAGGAGGGTTACCATAGTGGGAGGCTTTGTCCTTAAAAAGAAAAAGAAAAAAAGGAAAAAAACAAACCAAAACCAAAATCAAAACCAACTAACTAACCGACCAACCATTCAACCAACCAAAAGCAAGATAAAATTGAGGATGTCTCATAGAGTAGGGCAATATGGAAAAGGATGAGAAGAAGACACAAAGAGACACAAACATCAATGTAGGAGACCCACAGAGAAAGAAAAGAAAAAAGGTTGATTTTATCAATTATTAAAGAAATATCATAAGGCAGTCTCCCAGACCGTAAGTGTTATCAGTTCTAGGGGTTAACCAACAGAAGAGATGGAGACAGTATCTGTACCAATGCACGTATCATCATCACAGTCAACAGAATTGACAGATAGAAAGAGTCCAGAAAATGAAAATAGATCACCAAGGGATGGAGATGGCTTACAGGTTAAGAGCACTGGCTGAAAGAACAGCCAGCATGTCCTTTCATCAGCTTGATACGGCATAAATTCTGATGCTAATAGTGAAATGTTTCACTAAAGCATGCCCAGTGATTGGACAAAAGCAAAAATTGTAAGATTGTCATCAACAAAGAAAAAATCCAAAAGAACTCCCAGCACAGAGGACAAGAACCATCTGGTCAGAGTTCAAGTCAGAAGGAGGGGCTGAAACCTTTTTGGATGATGGATTAGCCCATAGAAAAATGATCTGCTATAAATCAAACAGTGAGGGAGAAGATGAACAGGAACCTCATTTACACATCATAAGTAACACAGCTCTCTGAACAAATGTAGTTTCTTCTGTGTCTCAGAATCTAAACTTTTTATATGTACTATTTAGCTGTTACTTGACTTAAACAGGGTTATTGGGAAATGTTAATCATTTTTACTATTTTCTACAGGGAAATTATTTTCCAGTTTCAAATAAGTCTGGACTTTAGAATTATAACCCATTTTTATGTTCAAGTTGTCTGTATTGTTCTTCCTGCCATTGTACATAAAAAGTTTTTGCATTTAATTGAGTTACTGTATAAAGTACTGCATTATGCCATAATAAAGATATTAATGCTTTATAAAAAAAAAAAGAGGACTGGCTGTTATTATAGAGGACCAGGGTTCAGTTTCCAGCACCCAAATGGCGACCCACAGCCACCTGTAACTCTAGTTCCAGGGGATTTGATGTCTTCTTCTGACCCTCCATGGGTACTAGGCATAAAGTAGTGTACAGGCATACATGCAGACAAGACACTCTCAAACACAAAACAATATGAAACAATAGTATCTTTAGAAAAAGCAGATGACAACACAAAGATTCAGACCAGGACTCACAGGATTTATGAATGGCAATAAAGGAGACAAGGAAAGAATGGAGCAGTGTTTTCAAAATCCTGAGTGGAAATAAGGTTCCATCTAGGGCTTTCTACCTAGATAAGCTACAATTAAGTGTAGGAGAAAGAAAAAAGTATTTGCAGACACAAAGCCCCTACCCTAAAGGCTACTGGGGTTAAATGTACCATCAACATAGGACTATAAAAATCAAGGGATGGGAACCAGAAAATGAAAGAATTTGCAATGGGGACATAGAGACAGTGTCTTTAGACTGAGAGCTAAGCTATACGCTCAGTCACCAGTTTAAGTTGACATAGAGACCGAAGCTTTGGGACAGAGATGGAACTAAGAGAACCCCTAATCTGTATAGCAGAATTCTCAGCTTAGTTAATATATATGTGTGCAAATAATAATCAAATGAAAATAAAAATGTGGACAGGGAAGAAAATGTAATCATGAATACATTATATGGTCTAGCTGTGAATATTTATTATAATTATGTAAACCTTATAAATTTAACCCAAAACTGTAATAAAAACTGTATGAAATATGTTCATGTCTGAGAAAATAAGGAAGAGTTACAACTCATAGAGAACTCTTTCACAGTTGGAAATCAATGGGAAAATAAAAACTTTACTTTTTGTATTACTGCAGACCAAACCCAGAGCCTCGAACATGCGAGGCAGGAGTTCTTAAATCTCAAAGTCAAGAAAAAGAAGTCTGAACTTTTAAGGAAATTTGGAAATGAGTACAGAAACAAGCTAAATTTTCATATGACAACATGGAACTGAATGGTATCCCTGTTTCCTTCAAAAGCAACAGAATGTTGAGTCAGGTAGATGGCTCAGTATAAAGGTATTTGCTTCCTGATGATGTAAGCTTGACAACATCAGGTAAATTATTGGAACCATGTAAAGGTAGGTGGGAACGTCCTCAACAAGGTTGTCTTCAGAGTTTCCCACCCATATGGTGGGACATACACCTCCCTAAGTATGTGTGCGCGCACTCTATTGTGCATGCACACACATGCACTAATAGCAAATTTAAAATAATATTTAAAATAGATACAAAATATGACTTTATTTGGAAATGGGGTTCTAATAGAGACAACTATTAGAGAGCGCTTTAACTCAGTCACTGGTACCACTGCAAAAAGGAGAAATGAAGACAGACACAGGGGAAAACCCAGGCAAAGACACTGTCACTTGAAGATAGAGGATTGGAATGATCAATCTACAAGCCAAGTAACACATAAAACTACAGGAAAGTAAGAGAGCTAGGGGACTATAATCCTGTTGACACGCTGATTCTGGTTACCAGAACTGTGAGATAATTAAGTTCACCTTGGTGAAACCAGCTAGTTTGTGGTCCTTTTTTATGAGAGCTCTGTGAAACCAAAACAGGGATACTCAACGACAAAGAGACTAGAAACCTGTGCAATAGTAGAAAGAACATTAATTAACATATTAATATATCAACTATAACTCCTTCTAAGTAACTCAGTTAACATTTACTAGTAAAAATGTTAATACATTTCCTATGGGATTATTAATGCAAATATGTTGCTGCATTTTTTTTGAAACAGGTTCTCACATAGCCAAAGCTGGCGTTAAATGCACTACACAGATAAGAATGGCCTCCAAATTCTGATCCTTCTACCTTTACCTCCCTTGTGCTGGGATTTGAGGTGTATGTCACCATGCCTAGATGTTGCTGTATGTTTTATTGACGGACATAATCTCCCTTCCAGACTGGTCTGAGCCAGGCAAAGTAAGCAGTGCCTGAGTGAACTGAGAGGCTGGGGAGAAGCTCGCTCGCCGACTGGGCACTCACCTTTCTATGTACTCTGCAAGAAGCTGCTCCGCTGCCGAGGAGTACATCCACTCGGTCCCAACTTTCTTGGTGTATCCAGGGACTTCCTCATTCTTCTTGTTGAATTTGAGATTTAAACCCACGTTTGCTTTATGGTCTCCATGAGGGCTAAGTTTAAACCACATATACACACAAGTGTTTTAAAATTTGTTCAAAAATAGTTTTGCTTTTTTTTTAACAGTGCTAGAGACTGAACCCAAAGTCCTGTGCATGCCAGACAAGTAGTATTATCACTTAGCTACATCAGCAGCCCCAACAGTATTTTCAACTTTAGAAAAGGTCAGTTCTGATTATTTTACACTTTAATTTTCATGGTTACCACTAACTAATTAAAAACTACAGGATACGTTTTAAAATTCAAGAAAGGAAAGCATATAAATTATGTAATTAGAAAAAAGGAAAATAGAATTCACAGAAATATATTACCAAGGCTCACACACACCCTTTGATACCTTTTTTCAAGGTTAGCTGCTAAAAATACACATCTAAAACATTTGCCGTTCATGTAAAGCACCACCAATGGAGGAATTTATGGGCAAGTTAGTCCACAGTCACTAATTTGAGAAAATTAATACCGAGATAGTAAGCATTTAATCTCTATCATTTAATTTTTCTGCCACTTTAAGCAAATATCCCTAACACAAACTTACTTTCTCCTAGATCCTCTTCCAATAAAAATACTTCCTGTAAACCTTGAAACAAGGTATCCACTCACTCCAAGGCGACCGGCCAACACATATCCCGGGTTGTACTTTATAGAGTATTTCTTTAAATATAAAAATAAAGAGATCAATTATGGAAACACATGTTTACATTAAATACTAGCTGGTTACCTTTGAGATCTGTAGGTAATTAATACACCACTGACCCACTGGATTTTGGCAACATAAATATACATGGTCACTTGGCTCCCCCTACCCCTGAAGAGTCTGAAAGCACCTCTCTTTCTCTTTAAATCAGTCTTTTCAAGATAAATCAAGAAGTAGGAAGCATAATTTGTAAATCTGTCTCAATAAATTCTGCAAGCACTACAGAAAATTCGTCACACAACATTTTTTAAAACTAATTTTCATATTTTAATCAGGGCTAGCTAGCAAGTACATGGAATAAAACAAGGCCTCAAAAATTACTACACTGAAGTCAAGCATAATTACATCATTCAAACAGTTGCAAGTGAGGGAAGTAAAAAGTGTCCTTCATATATGAATGTAAGTACTAATAATTTTTACTATTATATGAAAGTCACAGTCAAATAAATGGAAACTTATTTGTATAGGTAATGACTGTGAAAATAAGAAAAAGGGAAAACTGTGATCAGAATATATTTATGAAAAAGTCTATTTTCTTTCTTCCTTCCTTTCTTTTTCTTTTTTTCTTCCTTCCTTCCTTTCTTTCTTTCTTTCTTTCTTTCTTTCTTTCTTTCTTTCTTTCTTTCTTTTTTGGTTTTTCGTGACAGGGTTTCTCTGTATTGTTTTGGAGGCTGTCCTGGAACTCGCTCCATAAACTAGGCTGGCCTCGAACTCACAGAGTTCATCTAATGGGTCAGTCTCACATCTTCTGGCCATCATGTCTAAATTCTTTCTACAACAGAGAGTCAATGGTAAGATTTTTAGGGACACCTCTGCTTTCTCTATCTAAAGTTCTCTCATGGCTATGGTGATCCTTAATGCTTTAAGTCACATCATGACAATACAAAATAAACACCAATTAATAACAAAATTTCTGCAGTTTTATTTTTTTGCTAAAGATTTACATAGGAATATATATTGTTTCAATGCCAGGTATTAAACATGGGTACTTACTATGTTACACTAGATTTATATGAATAGGTATACATGAATTTTGGGGAATAGATTTATACTTTTCCCTTATATTTCGGGAATGTGTATGTGTTTATGAGAGGGCATGCATGCCACAGTGCATGTGTGGAGGATGACCTTGGTGTCATTTCTCAGATGCCATATACTTGAGATTTTCTTTTGTGAGGCAGGATCTCTAAGCTTGGCATTCATCAACTAGGCTCAGTTGGCTGGAAAGCTAGCCCCAGAGACCCATCTTCCAGCACTGGCAGGACAGTAGGTGCCATTAGCTCAGGTTTTTGTTTCTTTTAACTACTTAACTTTTATTTTATGTGCACTGGTGTTTTGTCTGTATGTCTTTGTGAGGGTGTCTGGTCCCCTGGAACTGGAGCTACAGACAGTTGCAAGCTGCCATGTGGATGCTGGGAACTGAATCCAGGTCTTCTAGATGAGCAGTCAGTGGTGCTCTTAACCACTGAGCCATCTCTCCAGCCCCCAATCCCAGTTTTTAGCCATGAGTATTGCAGATATGAACTAGGGTCCTTTTGCTTCATTAAAAATACTTTACTGACAGAAGTCTCTCTCTCTAGCCTCTTATTCTTAAATTAAATATTGAAATTAATTTTAAGGAGGAAGAAAAATATGTTAGCATTAAAAAATTTTATTCTAAACAATACCAACTATTGTACTTACATGCTGGTTCTGTATCAAAGCATCAAGATTTGGTTCACATGGAATGCTGAAAACCACACGAATCCTACCTTCTGTGATCACATCACCTGAATCCTGAACCTGGGGGTAGAGCAATCACACTGTTTTAATTTTTCATTACTCATTTCTTTTTTCCTCATTTAAATGCTAATCTTCTAAAATAGAATTTTATTGTCATAAAATTAGAGTGGGAATTTTGTTGTAGTTTATAATAGGTTTTTAAAATATCCTAAGAGTGAGTCATTTTATATTTATTTTAATAGGTGTTAGTCACATATAAAAATAACTTACTGCAGATAACTTGAAATTACTAAAATATTGCAAATAATATCTGAAAACATTGATATAGATTCATGCATTATTAATACTATAAAATATGTCTTTAACATTTGTATACAATGTGCATATGCACATGCATACAACTACTACAACAACAACAACAACTAATACTAGTATTTTGGAAGAGGGTTTCAGTCTGTATTTCCAAGCTAGCTTTGTACTTATTGTGATGTCTAGACTGGCCTCAAACTTGGTGATCCTAGCTTCAGCCTTCTGAGTGCTGGGATTATAAGCATGAACTATAAACCCCAGGTTGGTACCTTATAGACACTGTGTCCTTTACCTGCAAGTATTTTAGTGTATATCATTAAGAATACTTTATTATAAAACAACAGTATCACTCTTAGGCAGGTAAATTTACACTGATACTTTAGTCTTAGCCATTCTTCATAGTTGAATATTTAGCATCCTTCAGTCTAGATTATATCCAGATCATTGTTGAGTGTTTTAAAAACAATACAAGTATTCTGAAGAATGCAATTTGTTCCTCACTTTTCATTCTGCCTTTCTCCTTTGTGTAATACTGGAGATGGAACCTAGTATGTTAGGCAAGCACTCTACCACTGAGCTGCAGCACTATTCCCCTTAAAGTTCCTTATTTTACTTTTTTGTAATGAAGTTATATGTTGTGGAATATTAGTTTAAGATGTGTTACATTTGTTTATGCTATGAACTATTTGTTTAATGATGCATTCTTTTATGTTGCATTTGTTTAACTCTGTGAAACTGTGTTACTTTGCCTGTCTACAACATCTGACTGGTCTAATAAAGAGTTGGACAGGCAATAGCTAGGCAGGGAAAAGGGACAGGCAAGGCTTTCAGGACGAGAGGATAAATAGAAGAGGAGAGAGAAGAGGAGAAGCTAGAAAAGGAGGAGAGGAGGGTGTCATGGGCCAGCCACCCAGCTATAATACAGTCAGTTACAGAGTAGGAAAGAAAGATATAGAATAAAGATAGGTAAAAGTCCTAAGGCAAAATGTAGTTAAAGAGAAACAGGATAATTAAAACTAGCTAGAAACAAGTCAGGCTAAGGCCAGGCATTCATAAGTAAGAGTAAATCTCTGAGCATTTATTTGGGAGCTTGGTGGCAGGCCCCCGAAGAAGAGTAAAAAACAAAACAAAACAAAACAAAAACCCAACTACAGTTAGACATTATCTGCTCCCAGGATAGCCTCTATGTGATGTGTCCGTGTTAGGGCATCATACCTGGAGGTTTACAGCATCAATCACTTCCCAACTGTTACTAACTGATCACACTGTTGATATGCTGTTCAATTTCTCCACTGTACAATCATAATTTTTATTTTCCTTGTAACTACATCCACAATAGAGGCGTTTCTTGTTTGTCTTTTTATTATTAGCATGCAATGATGAATTCTTGATTTCCCTCAGTTACTTCTAATTTGTTACTGTAGTTAATTATTCTGCCACTCAAACTATTAAGAGCTGACCAGTAGGAGCCCTTTCACCTTGTTCCTGTGCTGACTGGCATGGGTCTTTCTTCTTTTGAGAACTTTTACTTTTTGGCATCTGATGTATCAAGCTCATTTTGTATCTTACCTGCTCCAGATCTAGAATCCGATACTTTAGTGAAAAGGACTGTTGTTTTCAGTGAATTGTTACTATCTTAGAGGTCAAGATCTGACTGTTATGTGTGTCTACTGCTACCAGAGAGCCACACTCTTTTGAAAAATATAGTTAGAAAAATATGCATGTATACTCACACAAACATGTGCCATATGTTTCACAGTTCCTAACAGTATCACTAATCTGTCCCCCAGAGACTCTTATTTTATTTCTGTATGTACTTTTTATCTATGTAAGAAGTAAAATTATTAAACATATCAATACATTAAAAAATTCATTACCCTGTACTTAAAATATTTTTTTTTTTTGGTTTTTCGAGACAGGGTTTCTCTGTGGCTTTGGAGGCTATCTTGGAACTAGCTCTTGTAGACCAGGTTGGTCTCTAACTCACGGAGATCCACTTGCCTCTGCCTCCCGAGTGCTGGGATTAAAGGCAAGTGCCACCAACGCCCGGCTACTTAAAATAATTCTATGATTGCTTCAGACATAACCTATTAACAAATATATTTAAAACAGAAACCAGGTGATGGTGCGGTACACCTTTAATCTTAGCATGAGGCAGAGGCAGATGAATCATTGAGATTGAGGCGAATCTGGTCTACAAAGTGAGTTCCAGGACAGTCAGGGCTACACAGAGAAACCCTCCCAGAAAACCAAAAACCAAAACCACCAGATTTTGAATTCTTTTTCCTACCTCCTGATCACCTGCTTATAACTCAACATTTTGCTCTTAAGTTACACAAATGAATTCTTTCTTTTGCTTCCCCTTTAGCATTACATTTTATTTTATATTTAAGATGAATAAAAGTTAATTAATAACAAAATTGAAACTAACTTCTCCAGTGCAGCCATAATAAGGAGTTCCCAGCATAAAGACCATACTTCTTGGAGGAAACAAGTCACCCAATGATTTGATACTGGAGAAACGAGAGTCAAAAGCTCGGATGTCCTATACAAAATGAAATATAAAAGTTAATTATCACTTTAGTATTTCTAAAGCCTGGATATCACCTTTTTTTTTTAGATTTATTTATTATGTATACAGTATTCTGCCTGCATTCATATCTGCATGCCAGAAGAGGGCGCCATATCTCATTACAGATGGTTGTGAGCCACCATGTGGTTGCTGGGAATTGAACTCAGGTCCTCTGGAAGAGCAGTCAGTGTGCTTAACCTCTGAGCCATCTCTCCAGCCCCACCTTTTTTTCTTATAGGATTAAATCTGTTTTGTCTGCAAATGTCAGATTTGAAGATTTTCTATACGATAATACCCAAATCTACAACACACTGACTTGCTAAACCTTCTGTCTTCTAGACACTTTATACATTTATCTACTTCATTTACTTCTTACACAACCATCGGTGGCAGAAGTTTACTATTAACCTCATTTTATGAAGACTGGCAAACAGGTAATGAATCTTGTCCAAAGTAACAATTGTAAAGAAGCCACTTTCAAGTAATCTGTGCTCTTAATTACTATACTATAGCTTACATCTCAGATTACAGGGTTGGTACAGATAGCAGTATCCCCTTTATCCACGGGATAGGGTTAGATTTCAAGACCCCTCCACACTGTGTATGTTTGAAACAACAGTCAGTAACAAAATGGATAATTTTTTTATATACATGCACATTTATGAGTTTACTTTATACATTAGATACAGTAACAGAAGACTAGACTATGTGAATGCAGTTGCTTCCTTTCAAAGAGTCTGCACCTTTTCCTTTCATGTGATGACGTGAGAATACATGCCTCCATGATGAAATGTGGTGAACGACTGAGAACTTAAGAAATGTGGACATTATGATCCAAGTGTGAAGTGCAGCAGCAACAGAGAATCAATCTCTTTCCCTTACAATCTCATGAATGGGATATTCATTCTTACAAACTGTAATTGCACCATCCTCAGCCTAAGAGGAAAAGTTTCTTCTTCCCCAGGAGGCATGTCCTGTCAGTGCCATCACTCTTGCAATTTGGAGTCATTTAGTAAAATAAATGTTACCATGCGCCAGGTGGTGGTGGTGCATGCCTTTAATCCCAGCACTCGGGAGGCAGAGGTAGGCGGATCTCTGTGAGTTCGAGGTCGGGCTGGACCTACAGCCTCCAAAACAATATAGAGAACCCTGTCTTGTTAAAACAAAAAACAACAACAAAAAAATGTTACCATGCACCATGATCCTGTAACAGTTGAGCTGGTGCTGAGATACCATATGCCTATACAGCATGGATGCAATGGACAAAGACATTTCCATCTGTGCAACAGCACAAGATTTGTTTCAATATTCAGAATGGTGATCAATTTAAAATGTATGAATAGCTTAGTTTTGGTTCCTTTCAGGTAATACCTTTAGACCTTGGTTGAATGAAGGTAACTGAAGCTGTCAAAGAGCAACCCTTGGATAAAGAGTACCAACTGTCCCCTTACAACATTAGATGTAGTGAGAGATCTACCAGAGGCACCTGTGGCGCTGACCACAACCGTTTGTGCGTGGTCACAGGTATGTATGTGAGTGTGTGGGATTTGGTCTGGGTACCAGACGGGCTTGTTCTCTCTTGGTTCCAGTTGAGTCATAGAGGGCAGATGGGTGTTGATCCTCCAGAGTTGGAACTTCTGATACCAACTTGTGGGCTATAGGTTTCTCATGTAAGTGACTTCTCCCTGAATAAAATTAACCTATATTATCCTAGTCCTGTGTATCTTAATTTGCACATTCATATCTGGTGTCAGAAGTAGGATCCCAACCCACGCCTCAATTAGAGACCAGATTATGCACACACAGGCAAAGCCTTTAATATTCATTAGTTTATTTCTAGAAAAAGAAGTTTTCTTAAAGAAAAGATCTTGAACCAGGGAGTGGCAGTGCATGCCTTTAATCCCAGCATTTGGGAGGCAGAGGCAGGCAGATCTCTGTGAGTTTGACACCAGACTGGTCTACAGAGCAAGTTCCAAGACAGTCAAGGCTGAAAAGAAGTCTTGATATGTTGTCCACCATGGTCTTCAATACAAATCTTCTTGCTGCAACTTCCCAAGTGCTAGGACTACAGGTGTTCATTATTATTCCTGACTAAGGCCAGTATTTTTGAAGGATAAAAAAATGTCAACATATTAAGAATAGTGTGTTCTAGGACAACCAGGGCTATATAACAAAAAAAAAAAAAAAAAAGCAAAAAACCCACCGAAACAAAACCCTCCAAAAACCAAAAAAGCAATGAACAAAGGAACAACAACAAAAAACTACTGCAAAATCAAAAACATGTTCCCTACTTGTACATGCTGAATGGGAATGGAATAATCCTTATACAGGATAATATTAAAAAATGTAAAAAATCAAAACCAGAACAGAATCATTTATTTAGTGTGTGTGCTTGTGTCAGATGACAACTTGTAGGAGCTGGTTCTCTCCTTCTAGCACATGGGTTCCAAGGATTGAATTCAAATCCCCATGCTTGGCTGTTCCACAGACAGAATTCAGGTTGTCAGACTTGGCTCAAGCACCTAGATTTGCTGAGCCACTTGGGCAGCTCCCAAAAAATATATTTAGTGAAATACATACATAAATATATTTAGTAAAATACATACATACATATATACATGTAACATCTTATTGTACATTGCTAAATTATTACTATTATTATCCACAAATAAATATTAATTATTTTGAGTGTCCTGTTTTTGGCATCACTGAGTCCTCAAACATATAGGACTTCATGAATGCTAGGCAAGTATTCTATCACTGAACTGCATCTCTAGTCCTTAAAAAAAATTGAGATAGACCTTGAACCTTGTAATCTTTCTCCTTTACCCTCCCAAACAGGTGGGATTACACAGGCCTGAGTGACCAGACCCAGCTGACAGCCCTTTTTTTTTCATCCCAAGACAGGGTTTCTCTGTGTAGCCCTGGCTGCTCTGAAACACATTCTGTAGACAGACTGGCCTTGAATTCAACAGAGATCCTCCTGCCTCTGCCTCCCAAGTGCTGGGGTTAAAGGTGTGCAACACCACTACCCAGACGGCAATCTTTTTAAAACAATGTCTAATAATGTACATTAAGAAAGAATTGAGACTTGGGTAGGGAACCTTACCTTAACAATAGTTTGATAAACAAAAGGAAGAATTTGTTTTGACCACTGTTTTTCCAGATGAACTTCACCATTTTGACTGACTTGATATTTGCGACCTGTGAGCAACTGAGCATACACAACAGCAGATGTTTCATTTATTATTATTCCCTTTCTTCTTAGGTATCTAAGGAAAAAGAAAAAAGATATACATGTAGAGGTATGTATGCAGTCCATATCATCAATCAAACATATGCACTGCAAATAAATGCACAGCAGTTCTCAGCACCCTAGAAAATAGTGGTTCTCAGCCTTCCCAATACTGTGACCTTTAATGCAGGTCCTGATGTTGTGCTGACGCCCAACCATAGAATTATTTTCGTTGCTAATTCATAACTGTAATTTTGTTACTGTTATGAATTGTAATGTAAATATCTGTGTTTTCTGATGGTCTTAGATAACCCCTATGAAAGGGTTGTTTGACCTACAAAGGGGTCTCAAGCCATAGCTTGAGAATCACTGCCATAAACTTTTGCTAGTATTGATTTTAGTCTGTGGATCATTTCTCCACTGTCTATGTGCCTTAATGAAAAACATCAATGTATAAAAACTCTAGAACTTCACATTCAAGGAAGGTTACACACACACACACACACACACACACACACACACACACACACACACACACACAGTAATAGAAAATTTAAATTTAAGATAAAGTGAAAAAAGGCACCATGGAACTCACCAGGGTATTTTTTTTTTAAGTATGCTACTCATTGCAAAGGTTCACTTGTTACATTTATATGCCATATAAACTTTTCATAAATAATTACCTTTGCCTTGATGATTACTTTGGCTTTCAATTAAACTTGCATACTTCTTAACACTCCAATCTTTCTCTTTAAATGACTTCAGGGATTGAATGCAAGCTTTGAACATACTGAGCTACAATCCCCAGTTCTCTGCACTCTTTGCATCTGCATTTCCTAGTCACATATCTGACACTGTGCTTCAATCTCATAGTGCTCTTGCCTCAGTTTCCCAAGTGTGGTAATTAAAGTTGTGTGCCATCATACTCAACTAAGATATTTTAAAAAATGTATTTATTTAATGTGTGTGGATGTTTGGTCTGCATATTTGTGTACTATATGTGTGCCTGATGCCCTGGAGATCAGAAGAAGAGGGCAATGATGCTCTGAGACTGGAGTTAAAGAATAAGTAAATCACTACATGGGATCCTAACTCTGATTAAATGAAGCCAGTGTTCTTAACCTCTGAGCCATTTATTCAGCCCTCAACTAAATTCTCTATGATACTCACTGTTCTGAAATTCCTTGTATTTCTTTAGTCCAGTTCGACTGTTCTTTATCTGCAAGTTGGATGACTTTAGATGGTGGAGCAGTTTTCCCCAAATAAACCTTCTGTGTCCCTGAAGGTTCTTCCAAGTAAAACCTTAGAAATAAAAACAAAGCAGAAATTACGTAATCCCAAATTTGTGCTTTCCTGTAGAGCTTTTGCAGGGTACAACTGTAAAAATAAAACCCCCCAAATGGTTTTTGAATACAGTAATTTAAACTGAAGAATAAATATGTGTAGAAATTTCCTACGTTGGGTACGTTGGTATATATCTGGACACCCAGTTACTTGAGGAGCTGAGGGAAGAGAATGTTTTGAGCATGAGTTTGATACCAGCTCACACCACACAGCAAGACTCTGTCTCACCTTAAGAAAAGATGAACTATTCAGATATAAACATAACAAGATGATAAATCATTAGTGTAATGAAAAGATAAATCACTAATAAAAGAAAGCAAAATTTAAATAATGGAGAGGAACACAGTATTCATGGGTTAGACAACTCAATATAGTAAAAGTATCAAACCTTCCCAAATTCATCTATAGGTACAAAATTTTTCTTTTTCTTGTTTTTAAGTTTTTCTTCCATTCCTCTTCCCCCTTCTCCCCTTCCTCCAATCTCTCTTTCAAGACAGGGGCTGGCTATGTAGCATAGGCTACCCTTAACCTCTACATAGCTTAGGGTAGTCTTGAGTCTGTAGAGATCTTCATGCCTCAACCCAGAGTGCTGAAATTATAAGTGTGAGCAATTATATCCTTTAGATTTAACAAAATTTGTATAAAAATTCCTTCAATATTAATAGATACAGAACAATCTCTCTTAAAAAATGCAACAAATTAGAATAGCTAAAACCATTTTTTAAGACAAGTTATAGCCTGGCAGTGGTGGTGCACACCTTTAATCCCAGCACTCAGAAGACAGAGGCAGGTGGTTCTCTGTGAGTTAAAGGCCAGCCTGGTCTACAGAGTGAGTTCTAGGACAGCCAGAGCTACACATAGAAAACCTATCTTGAAAAACCAAAAGGAAAAAAGGAAAGTCAAATGTGTCACTTTGATGTTAAGACTTGGCATAAATTTATAATCAAGAAATGGGTACAGGGCTCTTAACTGCTCTTCCAGAGGACCTGGGTTCAATTCCAGGAAGCCACATAGTAGTTCACATCTGTCTGTATCTCTAGTTCCAGGGCTTCTGACACCCTCAAACAGACATATATGCAGGCAAATACCAATGGACATAAAATAAAAAAATAAATAAAAAGAAATGAGCATAAAAAAGTCCATAAGCATAAATAGGCTTGAGAGTCAGAAAAACACCTACACAAATACACGCACTATAAAAAAAGGTTTGTTATTGTTATGTCAGGGCTTTGTGCATAGCAGATGAAAGCTGTAAAGCACTCTGCCACTGATGAAGATTCTCAGGCTGGAACTAATTTTTTTTCTCAACTTTTAAAGATTTATTTTTATATGTATAAAGTGTGAAAGCCTGCATGTATGTATGTATGTGCCTTCAGTGCATGCCTTGTGTCTGAAGAGGCCACACACGGGCTTGGATTCCCTGAAACTGCAGTTACAGGTGGTTGTGAGATGTGCTGGTGCAGGGACCCAACCCAGGTCCTCTGCGAGAGTGAAAGGGCTCTTAGCTGCTGAGTCGTCTCTCCAGGCTCTGTGCCGACTTTTGACAAAAGCAACCCAACAAAGAAAAGGTATCTTTAACAAATGATGTTGTAGCAACGGAATGATTCATAGGCAAATTATATATTAAACAATCTAAATCTGAAAAATTATGCAAAAATCATTTAAAACGGATCATGGCTTAATGTAAAAAATGGTAAAACCACAGAATACTTCAAAGAAAATATTAGCAATCTGGACTACCTCCCAAAGGGAGAACTAAATTTTACTCTTCCAACAAGGAATCCTCAATATTTCTCACAGAAATGCCAGCAACTACAATTTCAGTTCAATTAAGTAATCAATAACATTTATGCGAAAACATAACCGGGAGATGTGTGCAGGCTAAGGGAAAAGGAGAGTAGACAAAAGACTGGTTTTCTAAAACTGTAATCCAATGTATCATTAAAAACAAAAGGATATTTTTTGACATGTAATAACTCAGAGAATACAATTGTGACCCAATTTCTATGAACAAAACTTAGCTTTAGCTACATGCAAGTAAAAAAGAGGACAAGCTTTATAAGAAATAAAAGTTTAAAATTATTAAGAAAGGCCTGCCTAACTATTCATTGATTAAAAGGATATGAGCTTAATTAAAATGGCAAAAAGTTAATCTTAAAATATAAGACAGAGATTGCTGGAAAGATAGTTCAATTTCTAGCACCCACATGAAAACTGCTAAGTCGTCTCATCTATAACTTCAGTCCAATACCCTCTTCTGGTTTCTGCAGGCAACACTCATATACATGGTACACAGACATATATGCATACACAAAATAAATGAGCCCCCCAATAAAAAGGACAAGCATAGATATAGTGGCCTACTCACATATCTTCCACTCTTAGGGATGGAGTCAAGAAGATGTGTACAAGTGTGAGGTGAGCCTTGTTAATAAAATATGTTCCAGACAAGCCAGGGCCACACAGTCTCATTTATTTGGTTTAAAAATTACTGTATTACCTATTTTAGAAGGCAGAAGCAATTACTGCACATGCCTGACAATCCCTACAATCTATGGTAGAAGGAGAGAATAAACTTCTTTTTTCTAACCTTATTAAAAATGGTTTAATAAATAAAAGTAATTATGAAATAAATGTTAAAACTTTAAATACTAACTCAGGGGAAATACAAATTCAGTAAGACTCTTTCTCTAACAATAACAGTTTTCTATAACCAACAAAAGGTATCTAGTGTTTTTCTTATGAAGATTACTAATAAAATATAGAATCAGTGTGCACATTTTAACAACATGTGTTTGACAAGCAATGCCAAGGTTTATTAAGACTGCATTTATGAATGCACCTGTTCTTGTAGAAGTGACTAGCAAGGAACTCATTTACATAACCATCTCTCTCAACATTTCAATTATTTTTCTGGTTCAAAACGTTGTCCTCCGACTTCTACTGCATGTCCACACTCATCCATCACACACACACACACACACACACACACACACACACACACACACACACACACACACTAAATCAGTGTACTATTGAATGAAATCTGGGAAGAATATGGAAAAGTTAAGGTTATATATGTTGTTAATTCTTATTAGAAAATATATTTGTTAAATAATACAATGGTTATTACTCAGAAAAGAATTGGGTGATAAAACTTCCAAGTTATTAAGAATAAAAGGAACTAACACAATATAATGTATCTACAATATCCCAGGGGTGTATATAATAAACTATTAACAGTGGTTGACTTTCAAGTGGTTGAGAATAGTTTTAGTTTTACACTAGAGTGTAAATGCTTTTACAATAATTTTATCTCCCAAAAATAAATGAAAGTTATCAAATAGCAAATCAAATATGTTAGAGAAATCATAAATGATATCTTACTTAGTTTCACCATCTGATACTGCCACAACTCTAGCTTCTTCCAGATGGGGCCAGTTAACAAAGACCGACTTTCCAAGCACTGATGACGCTATGTTTTCAATACTCTTAAAAGCAAAAACAGAATATTTCATTCATAGTTTAGATCCAAGAGAAAAATTTTCAGAGGAAAATTCTCCAATTGCATTTAAGTTTTAATTTGTAAAGTGAATGAGGTTACAAAATTCCCTCCACTATATCCTGACTTTACTGTAGATACATATTTCTCTTTCTTACCTCTCTGATAACAAGGAAAAGTGAAAAGAACAGTAGTAATCTCTTTGGTTTTATTTTTTCATAAAGAAAAGAAGTACCTCATTTCATTTGTGGCACATTAGCAAGAAAGAATATTACATTTAAAGCCAGGGAACACAGCTCCAAATTATCATTTTATCCCTTTCAGAATCTGATCAAATTATGTTTCTCTTTATGAAGAGAAAGGACAATGTCTTCCTTCCAATGTTGAGGATAAAGTAAAATAATATACTATTCTGTACAAGGCAATATTTTAAGTAAAAAAAAATCCTAGCTTTGAAAAGAAGATATTCAACTTACACATTTAGGTTAGATAACAACTTTGTAGTAGAAACTGATGTGTAAATATAAATCTTATTTATCTTTTGAATTATATTCAACCTTTTTTTTTGTTTGTTTGCTCTTTGTTTTGAGATAAGATAGGTCTTATGTAGCCTAGGCTGGCCTGGAACTTGCTATGTAGCCAAGGGTTACCTTGAACTTCCTGCTTCCACTTACCAAGAGTTGGACTATAAAATGTGCCCCTGTAACCACACCCACTTTAACATGGTTCTGGGGATCTAACCCAGGCTTTGTGCACACTAGACAGGCACTCTATTACTAGAGCTACATTCCCAGCTGAGCTGGTGGATGGCTGGCTTAGCATTCACAGAGCCTTGAGTTCAATCCCCAGAACTTCCTAACAGGGTGCAGTGGTGCATGTCCTCTATCCTAGCACTTGGGAAACAGAGGCAAGAGGATCAGGGATTCAAGGAAGTCTGAGACCAGCCTGAGATCCATTAGAACCTGTCTCAGAACATACATATACACATACATGAATCAATTTTGAGCAATAAGAGATGATGCTTTTTTGGGAATATTATTCTGATAATCAGACTTTTCTTAAAGTGAACATAAAAAACTACAGAAAAACAATTCTTGCTAGGCAAAGAAAAACAATTCATGCTGGATGGTGGTGACGCACACTTTAGTCCCAGCACTTGGGAGGCAGAGGCAGGTGAATCTCTGTGAGTTCCAGGTCAGCCTGGTCTACAGAGCAAGTTCCAGGACTAGCTCCATAGTTACTGAGAAACTCTGTCTCAAAAAAAAAAAAATAAAATAAATAAATAAAATAAAATCGAAGCAAGCTTCAACATTAGAACTGGGTTCAGCCGGGCGTTGGTGGCGCACGCCTTTAATCCCAGCACTCAGGAGGCAGAGGCAGGCGGATCTCTGTGAGTTCGAGGCCAGCCTGGTCTACAGAGCGAGTTCCAGGACAACCTCCAAAGCCACAGAGATAGGGTTTCTATCTCGAAAAAAACCAAAAAAGGAAAAAAAAAGAAAAAAAAAGAAAAAGAAAAAGAAAAAAAAAAAAAGAACTGGGTTCATTAGTCATTCTTTCTGAATATTTGTCTGTGTTCATTTATCTCAATCCCACTTTTAGTTGTTTTGGAAAAAAAATCCTTCCTTTACCAGATTCTTTCTGAAGCTTTAGCTGAAATCCACTATTATGTCATGTGCAGTCTTGCTATTATACATCCTTTTCTATTACAAAAGCCTGACAACGTCCAAAGAATTCTACTTTCTTCTGTAGCAATTTTTCTGGATGGTCTTCTTCTCTGCCTATAGTTATGCTTGCAGCCTTCTCTGTGCTAATAAAAGTAATTCTAAAAAAACCTTTTTTTTTTTTTTTTTTGAGACAGGGTTTTGGTGTGTAGCTCTGGATGGCCTGGAACTACGTAGACCAGACTGGCCTCAAACTCATGGAGATCCATTTGTCTCTGCTTCTGTCTCTCAGAGTGCCAGGATTAAAGACACATAGCAGCTAAAAAAAGTCCATTTTTAGTTCATGTGTACATGTGTGTACATTTGTGTGGAGTGCCCGGTCCCCAGGAGCTGGAGTTTTACAGCAGTCTGAAATGGGTGCTGGGAACAGAGCTTGTCCTTCACAAGAACAGCAAGCACCCTTACTGTTGGGCCATCACTCAGGCCCCAATCACAGCTTGATGAAGAAAACAACGCCTGCCTCCTTTACTGCCTATCCACCCACTCTTCCTATTGCCTATCATTAAGAATTGAACTTCTGCCTTCACCAATGTACTGGAATAAAATTTAGACTTTGTTTCAGTTTTGTAACATAAAATTTTTGCTTCAAGTTTTTGATATCCCAAGTTGTGACAATAACTTGGGAATGATTCTTTTTTACTTCTGAATCCTCAATGTCACTTTAATGGCTCCTTTTGCAGTCTTCATAATTGTGGATTTCTTTTTGTTTTCCTTATATTTGTTTTTCAAAATAAGACTTATTTATGTTTATGAGTTTTTTTTTATTATACATGTATGTACATCACAAGAATGCCTGGTACCAACAGAAGCTAGAAGATGGCATTAGATACCCTGGAACTGGGCTGTTGTGGGTGCTAGGAACCAAATGCAGGTCTTTCTGGCAAGAATGACAATTCAAGCCATCTCTCCAGCCCTAATTGTGGAAACCTCCTTAATCAAGTTGAGACCATTACCATCCAATGTAACTTTGTATATCTCAAGACCTCAGTCATCAGTTCTTGTTAGGAACTTACAGTAACAATATCTGTATCCAACCTCTAGCCTGAGAAATTTAACTGTATACCAGAACACACCCCCTCCACCTGAGAACTCAGTTCTGTAGCCCAGGCTGGCCTTGAACTCACAGATATTCACCTGCCTCTGCCTCCAGAGTGCTAGGATTAAGGGCTTGTGCCACCAATGCCTAGCTTACCAGTAGCTTTTAAAATGAAGTTTTAGCAGACATTGGTGGTGCATGCCTTTAATTCCAGCACTTGGGAGGCAGAGGCAGGTGATCTCTGTGAGTTTGAGACCAGCCTGGTTTACTGAGCAAGTTCCAGGACAGTGTCCAAAACAATACAGAAAAACCCTCTCTCAAAAAAAAAAAAAAGAGAAAAAAAAAAAGAGAAGTTTTTTTTACTTGAACCACAGTTCATAAATAACTGGGCTATTTTCTCAGTTTTTCTAAGACAGTACAATGTTAGTATATTCTAAATGCACAGTAGGTTTACTGTATACAATAAAATTCTTATTTACAATGAACAATTGAGGTTATTAGAATTTCTATCTTTGTGAAACACTAGCTAAGAAAGGTTACTGGGATAGCTTTAGTTAAATATCTTAGTAGCCACCTTAAGATTTCATCATGATTAATCTCCCAAACCAACAACTTTCCTATTTTAACTTTCCTTGTCCATCAAACTACTATTACTATTTCATTAGCCTGGACAGCTGAGTTAGTTACTATTTTAAAGATCTATTGCCATTTTATTTATATCCTTATCATTTAAGACTACAGACTTTGAATTTCCTGGTTTTACTGGTTTTTTTCTTCTTTTTTCAATTTGGTTTAGAATATTGCTGATAGATTAATCTTTATGAAGATATCAATTTCAAAATAAGTCATAGGAGGAAAAAATCCAAACTCCTTAGCTTGGTATTCCAGATGCCCCTTAATCTGCCTCAGTTTATCTTCTAGCCTTATCTGTCACTACTCACAAGTCTTTTGCTTCAGTCAATTTTATCTATTCCTTCCTTCAAATACATTGAAATTGTTCAGAGAAAAAGATTTAAGAAATATTTCAAACACAAAGGTTAAAAATGAAGCTGGGCGTTGGTGGCACACGCCTTTAATCCCAGCACTCGGGAGGCAGAGGCAGGCGGATCTCTGTGAGTTCGAGGCCAGGCCTCCAAAACAGAGAAACCATGTCTCTTAAAAACCAAAAAAAAAAAAAAAAAAAAAAAAAAAGAGGTTAAAAATGAGACAATACATCCCAACTACTTATTTTGGAGTTGACACTACTTCCTTTCCTTCAAGGAGGGTGCCTTTCCTCTCTTTGTCCCAATGTCTCTCAGCACCTAACTTGAAGCCACTGCGCATCTACATTGTCCCTAATCACCGGCCAGCAGAGTTCATTTCCTCTTCAGATCCTGTTCATGGTGCTAGTTACAGAGGCTCTTAGTGCCACCTAATTCATATTTCTGTGCTTCATCTTAAACACTGAATCTGAGTTATGGCACATTAAGTTTCTTTGTTAAACACCTTAGCAGGTACAAGAATTTTTATGCATCACAGATATTCTGTAAATGAACAAACAAACAAATAAAATACTTACAAGTTCATCTGGTTCTGTGTTCACTAAGATTTCCAACATCATGTTCTCACCACGACTGCTCTGCTGGAATACTTGAACACCACTTTTCTTCAAAAAAAACTTTAAAAGAATTCAAAGAATTTAGTTTAATTCTTTATGATCACTTCACTTTTAATAAAGTGAAAAAAATCTGAATTAAATAGCCACTGACTTTATGTTTGATGTGTTTCAAAGTAGGGAATCCACAGAAATATAATGCCTTCTGGTCAACCCTGGTTATTCTGTTCTTGTTTATGTCTACACGCCAAGCATCTAATGATATTATTTTATACCTAGAAAATGAATCAAGGTATTTAATTTAAAATTCAAACATTACAAACAGTTACAACTTTCAGCTTTCTCCTGACTCTTTCACAAGAATCACTGTTGTTTAGAAAGGGGGATGTGTATTGTGGCATATGTCTATAATTACAGCACTTGAGGTACAAGTTCAAGGCTATCCTGAATTACATAATGACTTCTAAGCTAGCATAAGCAAGATAGTGAGACCTAGAAATACACACACACACACACACACACACACACACACACACACACACACACACACACACACGGCCACGGCAGTAGAGGAGAACTGTTCCTTGAAAGAAATAATCCAGGCATAGTGGTTTATACCTATAATCTCAAACTAGGGAGGTTGAGGCAGGAAGATTGCTCTGAGCTCAAAGCTATTCTGGGCTACAGAATGAAATCCTGCCTCACAGAAACAAACAAACAAACAAAAACAAAAAATATGGCTTTATAGCAGGCAAGGAAAATCGGTCCTCAAGGACAAGAGTGAACCTCGGCTCAGACTGATTTTATTGTAACAGGGGCTGGACCAGATAATTTTACTTTAATTCTATTTAAGCACAGTACAATTTGGAAGAGAGTATTTGGATAACAATTAACTCAGCCCCAAGTGCACAAAAATTTAAGACATGTTTACATTGAGATTCTTAATAAACTACATCTAGATACTTTTACAAGAATGGGTACTGTTGACTCAGACAGAGTCCCCAAGACTTAGGGTCTAGGGAGCTTGACTGAGGTAAACAACACCCGTGGGAGTCAGGATTGGCCTGGCCCTAAGATAACATACATCACTTAGGCTATTATAAAGCACAAATAAGAATGGATCTATGACCTAAAAGCAATGCTTACTTGATATCAACTAATTGTCACAAGATATTAATTATTCATAGATATTCAAGCCTCTCTCTCTGTGTGTGTGTATTGTGTGTATGGGAGTTATTTTTTATTGGGAAAAATTACAGAATAATATTACCTTGTACAGCATCGTTCTATGGCAGGGAACTTCTCTGGCCATGGAGAGGAGTAGGTAAACTCTGTGTCTTTATCATACCAGCACATTAGACATTCACTGTGTTGGTTTCTTTTTCTTTCTTCCTTTTTGAGGGAGTGATTACATGTTTCCATGGCGTCCAACAATCTCTTCTGATGTAAAGAATAATAAAAGATTTTTAAAAATCCTGTAATCTCAACATACAGAAAAGTATTTTTCCTTTGTATAATACCAGGCTGTTAAAAAATAAAAACTTGGGCTAATGGGGTGGCCCAGCAGGTAAGGGCACTTGTTGCTGTCTGATGACCTGAGTTCAGTCCCTGGGATGCACATGATGGAGGGAGATAATCAACTTTCACAGGCTGTCCTCTGACCTCTACCTGTGCAACATGTCATGAATGAGTGCATTAACACACACAGATGTGTGTGCATGTACATAGAGAAAATAAAATGAAAGCAAAGCGAGAGTTCAGTGTCATTTTCAAGTATGTAGCAGGTTCTGCACCAGCCTGACTTAAAACACAAAACAACAGAAAAAGGTCCAGAGAGAAGAAACTATGGAGTAATAAGGTAATCTAGAAGCTGCCTCAGTATAGAGGAGTGAAAGACCCCGGCCCAGCGCAAGCAGCTGAGGCTTATGGAAAACTCCTTTCCCCCACAGCTCAGCCATTTTTTATCAGGAGGGAGCTCAGCTCAAGGTCTTCGCAGCTGAATAGTCACTACTATCTCTGTCCAGATAGGGGCACAGGTGTCTATGGTCTGCATAGCCAGCCCAGAAAGATTGGGCAGGCACAGAAACCCTTTGTTCTTCAGATAGGGCCAAGGCCGAGAATTGAGTTCTGAGAGAAACCTTAATTGCCTCTCTGTCCAGATGGGAGAAACCTTAATTGCCCTTGTTCTGAGCCCCAGCCTCATTTAAATTACCCAATCAGGGTCCCGTAACTAGGCTTCTCGCTTCTGTACTGCGCTTTTTGCTATAAAAGAACCCCTGAGTCCCCAGCTCGGGGCTCTCAGTTCCCGAGACTGAGATGCCCCGGGTACCCGTGTATTATCAATAAAGCCTCTTGCTGTTGCATCCAAGCTCGTGGCCTCGGTGTTCCTTGGGTTCGGGTCTCCCTCCCGTGAAAGTCCCCCGCCTGGGGTCTTTCAGGAGAAGATTAAGTGTAAGTATATTTGAATCCAAAGACAGAAAGAGAGGAGAACTTAAGGGGCAGGTTATGTACTGAAAAGAAGTACAACCAGCATGTAGTACAATCAGGAGACCAAAGAACCACAACCAAGAACTCATGGGATAAAAAACTAACAATTAAAAGCATAGACCAGCTATTCAATGAAATTATACCAGAGCATTTCCCAATTCTAGAGAAAGAAATCAACGTCTAACCATAAGGGGCATTTAATTTTTTTTACTTATTCACTGACTTATTGACTGGTGTGCACACATGCAGGTATGCTTGCTTGTGTGAGAGGTTAACATCAAGTGTGTCTTCTTCTATTGCTCTCTACCATATAGCTGTTTTTATTTTACTTACTTTTAACTTACTTATTTCATGTGTATAGGTGTTCTGCTTGTATGTAAGTTTATGCACTATGTATGTGCCTATTGCCTATGGAAGCCAGAGGAAGGCATCAGATCCCCTGAAATTTGAGTTACAGAGGGTTGTTAGCTGCCATGTGGGTGCTGGAACCAAACCTAGGTCTCTTGGAAGAGCAATCAGTGCTCTTCACTGCTAAGCCATCTCTCCAGTCCCACTTTTGTTTTCAAAAATTAAGCTATTTAGTGTCTGTGTGTGTGTGTACACACATGTATGTGGATGCACGGATGCCATAGCACATGTGTGGAGATGAGATGAAAGAAAAGTAGAAAAGAAGCCAGGTGGTGGTGGTCTCAAATAAATTAGCAAATAATATACCTCAAGTCTTTAGAGACAAAATAAGGTATATCACTAAACAGTAGATTACAAGAACTTTCTGAGAGGACCCAAAGAAATACATGATATAGTCCCAAGAATTGGAGGAGATTGAGTGAAATTAAGAAATTTCGAACAGTAAATAATCTGCAAGTAAAGAATGGCCTATAAAGCGGGAGAAAATCTTTGCTAGCTATTCTTCTGATAGGGGATTAACAATAGAACCTATAGTGACCCTCAACAATTAAGTAGAGAAAATCATTTAATGAATAAGTAGACAAATAAACCAAACAGACAGTTCTCAAAAGAATAAATGCAAAAGCTAATATATGAAAAAATGCTCAACATTCTTAGCCATCAGGGAAATACAAATTAGAAGGACTATATCTCACCCCAATTAGAACAACAATCATTAAAATAACAAATGATAGGGACCGGGAAGATAGCTCAGTCGGTGAAGTGATTACACGTAAAAACATCAAGATCGGGTTTGATTCCTAGCTTGCCCATGTAAAAAGCTGGGCATGGTGGTATACACTTGCAATCTAAGTGCTGGGTAGATAGAAACAGCTAGGTCCCCTATTAGACCAGTGGATGGTATCTGAAGAATGACACCTAAGACTATCTTTTGGCCTACACACACATGCACACATAAAAAGACTATGTATTTATATGTAATCATTTCATACACTGACCTCATCAATAAACGGTATTAATACCACAGCTTCCCATTCCTGTTGTTTCCCATTTAGATCAGTTTTAAAATCAGGTGGATAATATTCTATAATTGGTGAATCTTCGCTGGTCATCAAATGCTGTGAAAATATAAACAGAAAAGCAGATACTAGAGACACTATCAATACAACTTTTCATTAACATACTTGGAATGCTTCCCCTTACCTTACTAGGTTGTAACAACATATTTGGTACATTATAGCTTCCAATTAAATAAAACTTTTTTGTTTTCTTTTTTTCTGAGACAGCTGTCTCTCCCTGGTCCTGAAATTAAGACCACCTGGTCTCAGCCTCCCCAGTGTGGGGAATACAAGCCTGTGTCAGCTTGTTCAGCAAACTGTAGGAATTTCAATTGTGCTGCTACACATTTCTTTCCTGTTTCTTTAATTTAGTTATGTAGCAAAATTACTTTTACTATGAGTTATTTCTCTTTCTCTCTCAATTCCTGTCTTGAGACAGAATTTAACTAGTCCAGGTTGGCCTTGAATGCAAGAGCCTTCTGCCTCAGCCTCAAGAATGCTGGAATTAGGGCTGGAGAGATGGCTCAGAGGTTAAGAGCACTGACTGCTCTTCCAGAGGTCATGAGTTCAATTCCCAGCAACCACATGGTGGCTCACAACCATCTACAATTCAATCTGCTGTATATGTAATAAATAAATAAATCTTAAAAAAATGTTAAAAAAAAAGAATGCTGGAATTATAGGTGTGCACCACCACACCCCTGCTACTATTAGTTTTGATTCTGTATTTTTTCTTAGAAACTTTTATTGATTTAAGTATTTGTGTGTGTGCACATGCATCAATGTGTGCACGTTCATGGTGTGTGTATGGAGGTCAGAGGACAACCTGTGGGAGCCTGTTCTCTGCTATACCATGTGGACAGTGGGGACGGACGTCACCAGGCATGGCAGCAAGTACCTTTTGATGAGCTTCTTGCCAGCCCCATTTTTATTTTCCTATTGTGTTTTTACTCTATAACATCTACCACCTAAATTCTGTTCTTTTACTTACACTATTTCCAAGAGTTCTCTATTTCAACCTCAAATTAATAATTTATTTCTATGCCCTAATCAGTTGATTCTAGTAATATGATTACTAGCATCAAAGATAATCTAAAAAGAAAAAAGTAAAACCCAAGACTTATAATACCATTAATAACAGAGTTTAATAACATAGATTTTATTATATTTTATAAAAGAGATAGACAAAGAAAGCATACCAATATCTTATGCCAAAAAAGCATTAGGAAATAAAAAAGAAAGATTATAAAATTAAAAAATGAGGTAGCATATTCCTAAAGTAATAACCTAAAATTTAATTGCTATTGCATGAACACTAAACAAATAAAACAAATGTGATTATAATATACTTATTGGATAACAGTGGTAGGCTATTAAAGTTTAATGTAGCTGAAGGAAAAAATAAAAAAAGACATCAGAGATATTTAAGAAAAGGAGGCTGAGGCCAGGATCAGGTATAGGTTAAGGCTCAGAAGAGGCAGAAGAGAACATGACAATGTTAAAGGAGCAATGGGCTATATGTGTGCATCTACTCCAAGTCATGGGACTAGACATGGAATGAGAGATACGAACAGACCCTAGAAAAAAATAAATGACTTTTATAATCTGTTTAGTATGCTTAGTGTGACTTTGGAACCCTGTCTTCTTTTTGTTATATGAAAAATGTTAATAAGAGAAAAGTCCTTCAATTTGATACAGTGGATGGGAGATAGGAAGGGTGGAGGAGGGGGAGCTGGGTTTGATATGTAAAATGAAAAATAAATAAATAAAAGAATGCTTAAAAATCTAAATATATTCTGGGGTGATGCTAGTGTTAAAATAACAGCTCATTAGAACTGCCCTCATTCTAATAGCAGAGGATGAAAGAAAGCAGGAATTAATCTTACAATATGTAGAAAAGGAGATGGCATCTGATCTACCTGTTTTAGGTTAACTCTTCAGGGTAGAGAGGTGTGCTTAAAGTGATGAAAATGAAGAAACTAGGTATGGAAAAGTTTATAGTGCTTGCATTTTTAAAAAAGTCAATTAAAAGTGAAGAAATGAATTGTCAAAGATTTGCTAAAAATGTAATGTTGCATTTAACTCAAACTCAAAATAAAACCGGGTGGTGATGATGCACATATTTGATTCCAGCACTTGGGAAGCAGAAGCAGGTGGATCTCTGTGACTTCAAGGCCAGCCTTATCTAAAGTGTAAGTTCCAGGATAGCCAGGGCTACACAGAGAAACACTCTCAAAAACACAAAACAAAACAAAAGAAACCTGAACATAAGTATTGCCTAAGAAAAACAAAAATTTGTGTATTAAATCATTATGGGCAGCAGTGTTTCTAGGTTTATAAGAAGAATTAAATACAAAAAGATATATAAGGGGTTGGCGAGGTGCTTCAGTGGTTATAAATCCTGTCTTATCAGTACCTACATGGAAGCTCACAACTATACATAACTCCAGTTCCAGGGAATCCAATCCCCTTATCTGTCTTCTGTGTGCACCAGGGTGCATATGGTACATAGATAAACATACATGCAGGAAAAACACCCACACTTATAAAAGTAAATCCTTAAAAAAAAAGAATATTAAGAAAAATCATTCAATTCCAAAACCTACCTGGTAGCATGTAGGAAGCAAATTTTTGCTAGCTGATGGAAGGACAGCAAGAAGCTGCTCGAATGGCTTGAAGGGTTTCCCCAGTTCAAAGTGGATTTTAAGTGTACTAATGTTGCGTATATCGGACAGGAAGGGTGCATAATGATAGGGATAAAACCTATGAAAGAAAATGAGTTTTTAACTGAAAACTTTATTCAAAGCAGTCGATATTAAAATTTTCCTACATTTATTTAATAATATATAGGCATAATTAAAAACATATCATCCATAATTCTATCACTTAAGCACCTATGTAAAGTTTAGCTCACAGGATAGCAATAAATATATTTTCATATATATATGTATGTATGTATGCATATAGATAGCAGGGGACTTAGAAACAGGCTTTCACCTAGGAAGCTAGGACTAGCTTCAAAAATCACAACTTTCTTAAATGTGCATGGTGGCATTAGGCATGTTCCTTTTTAAGTCCCAACTGTGAACCACCAATCTTTCAGTCAATGTACTGGACAGTAATCAGGTAGTTAGATGCTTCAGTCTAGTCACTTGAACCTGGGAACTAAGAAAAGGGCTGGGCACTCAGTATTCAGCGAACACTGACACTAAAGGAAGGACAGTAGGTGTAGACTCATACAGCCTTATCAGTCAACTCTAAGAACCTTTATCTTTGAATCAGTGTACCATAAATCAACCCCACACACTTTGTTTATACTATCTTATCTTTAACTACAGGTATGTTTCAATAAGACTTTCAATATAAAATTAAAAACATTTCAATAGACACAGGGAGACAAAGACTTGGGATATAGAGAGAGAAAGGAAGAGGAAAGAGGGAGATGAAACTTTTTTTTTTTTTGCTTGTTCTTGTTTTTGTACACAGGGTTTCTTTGTGTAGCTTTGGAGGCTGTCCTGGAACTTGCTTTGTATACCAGGCTAGCCTCAACCTCACAGAGATCTGCCTGCCTCTGCCTCCTGAGTTCTGGGATTGAAGGCATTTGCCACCAACATGCGACTGACTAAACATTTTTTAAATGACATTTTATTTACTTTGTGTAAACTTGTGGGAGTCAGCTCTCTCTACCATGTGGGTTCCAGTGACTGAACTCAGGTTGTCAGGCTTGGTGGCAAGTGCCTTTCTTTATCTGCTTAGCCAACTTGCTTGTCTGAGAGACTCACATTCTGTAATTACAGAATATAACTCTAACAGATAGGAAAGTTTAGAAGGCAGAATGGCATAGGAATAGTGTAAAAGATATTGACATACTAAACAGATAGGCTTGACTTTACTTTTGCACAATCTTGGGATGATTAGTTTTATAGGCTTTGATTTCATCTGTAGCAAGTAAAAAACATTATTTACTCCAAGTATATGAAAATATGGTTTTGAAGTGCCTGATTTTAGTGCTTGTCAATTTAACAGGAATTACTGGCATTTTGCTGTTTTTAAAAGTAACAAATAAGGATCTTTAAATTTAGATGATTCTTGAGACAGGCCCGAGAATGTAAGAATTTTTTTCCAGAGCTGGCTAATAAGTGAATTAATGGCTAATGCTACATTATTTGCATTGTTTTGAGCTTCTTGAGAATGTTCTAGAGAGTCTACCACAACTGCTGTGAAGACCAATAACGCAGCCGTCATCACAATAGTCTTTAATATACACTGCCATTAAAATCTGCACTTGCTTTTTTTCTTCCTTGTCTTCCTTTCAGGCAAGGTTTTGGTGTGCAATATAGTGGACCTTGAATTTGTGGTAATCCTCCTGCCTTGGCCTCACAAGTGATGGGATTACAGATACGAGCTGCCACATCTGGATATCATTTTTATATCTTAGTGAATGAGTAGATGCAATTTGCTAGGATTAGAAGTATTATGGGTTCGATATGAAGTATTGCTCCCTGCCCCCATACTCATGTACAGAAGCCTGGTTCCCACCTGTTGTGCTATCTGGGGGTTCTGGAAATGTTAGGAGGTGGAACTAATTGGATTTGGGTCACTGGGACATGTCTTGAGGGGACATATCTTAACCCGAGCTTTCCTCTACCTTTCTCTCTACTTCTGGTTACAATGAGGTATCAACTTGGCTCCTCCATGTCCACCCTGCCATGACACTTTGCTTCACCAGAGCCTAAAGAGACTGGAGCTGGCTGAGCATAAACTGAAGCCTGAAATCATGAGACACATGATCTTTCTTCTTTTAAGTTGTTCTGTCAGGAAATTTTGTCATTAAGAAAATCTGAGCAATATAGGAAACAGCAGAGAAATGGTGAAGAGTACTATTTTTAGTAACATAAGCAAAAGCCTTTTTTTCAGCCACACATATAAGTAGTTTTCGATTCAGAAATATTCCTGGTAAAGAGTACTGTTTTTGAGTACACAAAATATTACAAACAACCTTATGTAAACTATCATAAGGGACTTAACAACTGGGACTCAAACAGTTGTTAAGACACTGCCGGGAGGGCACGGGAGGAGGGGAGGGGAAGGGAGAGGGACCTGGAACTGACGTGTGAAGCAACCTTGTTTCTTATCTAAATTTAAACTGAAAAATAAATTAAAAAAAAAAGACACTGCCATTCATAATGGATTCTTTCATTCTTACTTTTCTGGTGCACCAGTAATCAAACCCCAAACTTCATGCATGCTAGATAAGTGCTCCATCATGGAATTATAACCATGATTTTCTCTATGTCTTCTGGTACTGGATATCAAAGCTAGAGTTTCATCCAAGTGCTTTATCAAGCCCATGTTGATTCAGACTGATAAAGTATTTTGCAACTTTAGATTAACAAAGGCTAGGGCTATACATATCTTTCTTAGTCAAAAGTCTTTAAAATATTTTCATTTAAAAACAGACTCTGTTTAATTTAAACTTGACTGTATACATATATGAAAATCAAGTAGAAATAAAAGAAAAAAGAGATATGTAAATGAGACTCTATTAGTAGGAACCATTATAAAATGAGATGCCTTTACCAGCTCCAGGATTGGACTCCATGATAGTAATAGTGTAAGATCCACTGTATAGCCTGAACATAACAAGCAGCTTGGTCAGCCAGAAACTCACTGAAACATAAAGGGGCATTTTCATTATAACATTATTTTCTGAAGATAGGCAAATTCTTCAGTGTATTTTTAATACCTAAAAATTATAAACAGAAAAATTCCAAAATATTTACAATTTCATATTGTAACATGAAAGGTTACTTTACAGTTTTGTAAGCCAACTATCAATATAGTTAAATTGATGTGCATACTTAAGTTGTCAGTATGTCCTAATTTTGCCTTAAGGTTGGAAGATTTATCTAATGAACTTTGATATTAGCACTATTACTCTCTTAAATATCGGGATTGAGAGTAAACCCAGGAGTTCTTAGAAATCTGGTGACAGCATTTATAACACCTTTTTAAAAGTGTTAACAAGATTCCCTCTAGTCTCCTTTCTCAAAAGCCAAATGCAAAACACATTTCCTCCATATCCCATGTTAATTTTAGTCAACTATGTTGAACTCTGATTTACCCATCTGAAGTACTACCAAGAATTTTATTCTTTTGCATCTTTATTCAAAGTATCCCAACTGACAAATCTGGTTTAAATTTTTGAAGGCTCCTTGTTGCCTAGCTTCTCTGGAGCTGTAAGTTGTAGTCTAGTTATCCTATGCTTTACATCTAATATCCACTTATGAGTGAGCTAGCTCGTGGGAGCCCATTCTTTATGGTGAGATGCCATGCTCAACTTTAACACAGGGAAGAGGTGTTAAAGCGGTCCTGCCCCAAAATGGGCCAGGGTTTGTTTACTCTCCATGGGAGGCCTACCCTTTGGGAAGAGTGGATGGGGATAAAGGAAAGTGGGAGTTGGTGTGGGAGTGAAAACTGTGATTGAATGTAAACTGCACTTAAAATAAATAAATGAATAAAAAAAAAGATTTGGGTAAAACAAATCTTCAAATCACTACAACAAAACAAGTCATAGTCTAAAGCCAAAAATAATCACTTAGAAATTTCTTATCTCTGTACTTCTGGCAGGTATGCTTATATATTTAAAATGTCTTATTATTATAACTTAGTTGTGTGTATATGCATGTCATGTACTTGTGTGGAGGTCATGAGACAACTTTCAGGAGTTGGTTCTCTTTGTAGGTGTGCTTTTAAACTAAATAAGTAGTTCCTGATTGCTAAAAATCTGGATAATGAAGAAAGCCATTCTTATCATTTCCTAGCAATTACTCATTTCTGTCTTCTGCTTTTCAGTATGCTGATATGAGGCCATGCTATCTTGCCCAGTGAATTTCTGGGCTTAGCGTCCCAAACAGCTTGGACAGGCCACGCACTACTACCCCAGTGTTAGCTGTTCTCCTTTACCCAATTTTTAAAAAGTACCAATAAATGTGTGTATTAAGGACTTGTGCTTCCTGTCATTAGATTATAAGCCTCTTTCTGAGTTGTGGGGAACTTTTTGCAACCACCATTGGATAGCTATCTAGATTTTGGAGATGAGGAGAGGAGAAATGATGAGTCAGAGGCTATGGAGTCTTCCTTTTTTAAAGACAAGATCTTTCTATGGAGGAGCTGGCTTTCATCTTTCATCCTCCTTCTTTGGCCTCCTGACTGTACTCAAATGTCTCAAGTCCTGGCTCTATGGTGGTGCTTCTTATTAGACTTAAAAAAATTATTTGGTTGTTTTTGAGACAGATTTTTTTTTTTTTTTTGGTTTTTCAAGACAGGGTTTCTCTGTGGCTTTGGAGGCTGTCCTGGAACTAGCTCTTGTAGGTCAGGCTGGTCTCAAACTCATAGAGATCCACCTGCCTCTGCCCCCGAGTGCTGGGATTAAAGGCATGTGCCACTAACACCCAGCCGAGACATTCTTATAAGGTAGCCATGATTAACCTGGTCTCTTACGTTAAATTTTTCAATTTCAGACTTGTAGCAATCCTCCTGTCTCTGCTTCCTGATTACTTCCTAAGGGATTACAGGTACTTGCTATCACTTGAACCTTAGACATTTATTACTATTATTTTTTCTGATATTGGAAATCAAACTTGGGGCCTCATAGAGTCTAGGCACGCACCCTTCCACTCAACTGTATCCTCAGTCCCTCTATTGAACATTTAGATTGCTTTTAAATGTTTAGTGTTTTAAACAATTTTGTAATCTGTATAAGGATGTTTCTATTTGCTAATTAAACCAATTAAAGTCATTTTTATTCATGTGTAGTAGGCATGCTTGCATGTGTGGGTGCATATGTGTGTATGAGGATGCTTGTGCACATGTGCACTTGTTTGAGGGGCCAGAGACACGTTGGGTATTTTCCTCAATTGCTCTCCACCTTATAATTTGAGGAAGTGTCTTTCGTTGAACTGAGAGGTCACCAATTTGGTTATTCTAGCCAGTCAGATCTTACTGGGGACATCCTACTTCTACATTCAGGACATCCTCCTGAGCTCTAGGACCACAGGTGGGCTGCCACACCTACCTTGGTATTTACACTGGTGCTAGGGATGAGAACTTGGGTCCTCAGGTGGTGGGGCAAATGCTAGCCACTATTTCGTCTCTACCCACCAAGCCATCTCCCTAGTTCATCTCGTCAGCAATTATCACAGAAATAGAACACATGCCACAATTACTATCATGAAATGCATAAGTTAAGAAAACAATAAATCTCCCATTACTTCATTAAAATAACGTTTTTTTGAAAAACTTCAAAATCTACTTTTTCTACTGCAAAATAAAACAAACAGAAAAAGCATACTCAGATACTACATCAACCCCCATCTTCGTCATATAGTATGTTCTTTTATATTGTCTAAATTCAGTTTCAAACAGATCATCATCTTCAGTCTCATCTTCAACATTATCTGTGAGAAAAACCAGAAATATGTGACTGATAAATATGAATATTGCTTTCTACCTAATGTTGTAATCAATGCATATCAAATTGATACTTACAAACTATCATAGGAATTTACCCAATTCACTATTGCTGGGTTAGTTCTATTAAAGGAGGGCATAACAACTACGTGTCAAGGAAGTGGCAGTAAAAGACAGTTTGGCCTCACCTTTAGAAGCCACTCCTCCACCTTCACTTTTGTCTAAAGCAGCCCAACTTAAAGAATTTTCCTGGCCCTATAAGAATGAGAAATTACCATAAGATGAACAGTAAGACATGTTTCCAAGTAAGATATGTAAAAAGAAAATTAGAAAAATACTAAATAAAACTGAAATGATCTTTAAGGGATACTCTGTAGCAGCTTACTTTAAAAATATGATTTAAAAAACCCCTTGAAACGACATCTTTTTTGGTTATCAATTGTTTTCTAAAATCATACATTTTATTATATAGAACTGATATACAATAAATGATTACCACTAATATAAGAGCATATTTAATTATATATACCAAGACCAAGTATATCTAAAAATTTATCAATTACAATACAAACAAAAACAAAATAATTTTACAACTTATCAAGTGAACTTTGCTAGACACCAAATTTTGAGCTGCTGCTAATACAACCTATCTGTTTGATTTCAATGAGCACTTTCTGAATCTCAGAATCTTGTTTTTCTTAAGACTACTCTCCTGACCTACTATGTCATTCATGCCCTGCCCTGTTTGTATTTATATGATCTTAACCCTTTCATGTTTCTGATAGCGACTCCCATTAGCTTTTCTTTATATGACTCTGGTCTCTACCAGTGTCATGGTCATGGGCCATGCCTGCAAGTATTTTTAATATAACTCACATATTCCTGGAAGACTGATAAAGTTTATGAAGTTTAAGGACTGAGCTAAAGTAGGGGGCTAGGAGTTATTAACATGTAGGTTTTGTGAATACAAGTTTCCTCCAAAGTTGCAAGGTTTCTTCTTTCTTTCCTTTCTTTCTGTTTGAGATAGCCTTACTGTGTTGCCCAGGCCTGATCTGAAATTCAAGATCCTCAAGTTTCTGCATTTCAAGTAGGATTTATAGGTATGTACCATCACACCCAGCACAAAGCTTGTTTTCTTAGGAGAAATACATGTGGTAGAATCAAATGGATTACTGCTGAATGCCTCTACAAAAGAGCTGTGCCCATATGTTAGCTGGGGAGATAGCATGGTGGATAAAGCACCTGATGCCCAAATGTGAGGATTGGAGTTAGATCTCCAGCACCTACGTAGAAAGCCGGACAGCTGTGGAGGCTGCTTGGAATCCCAGCACTTGTGAGCAGACACAGGAGTTACCCTGAGCAAGGTGGCTAGCAAACTAGCTGGATTGGTGAGTTATAGGTCAGCTGTGTTTCACCTGCTTCAATAAACAAAGTGAAGAGCAACTGAGGATGACAATGACCAACGCACACATGCACTCACACACACAGATACACACAAACACCACACACATAAATGTGAAAAAAATGAAAAAGAAATAGAAAAACTGTGCCAGAGAAAATCGGGAATATCTACATTTCCTAGGGGGAACATTTACTAGTCTTGAGACTAAATAGAGCCAGGATCCCATCATTATAGAAAGGTTCAAGAAAAGTTAAGGTCTCTTTTACAGGCTAACACAAGGAAGACAATGTTTAATTAGGGATGCTCAGTAGACACTAGAATATTCCAAGGTAGTCATCATTCATTACTAATCAGAGACATTTACTAAATATTGTACTACTTTAAAAGATTTGTTTAATTATATTTTGTATATCTGAGTGTTCTGCTGCAGGTGCTGGATACCTTGGAACTGAGTTACTGATGGTTGTAAGCTGTCACATTCATGCTGGAATAAAATCTGGGTCCTTTGCAAGAGTAGCAAGTCCTCTTAACCACTGAGCCATGTTGCTAGCTCAGTGGTTATTGTTTTATTTAACTATTCTTAATCAGTCTACTGCTGGCTTAGTGTCACAAATTTAAATGCTACATATATTTACATGTAACAAACTAGTTTAAGACTATACCATGTAATATACTTATAAATCCCATCACTTAGGAGATGGAGGCAGGAGATCAGGGCTAGCCTACAGTACATGAGTACTGATCTCAAACAAACAAACAAACAAGCAAACAAACAAATAAAAAAACCAAATGTCTGAAGTAAATATAAATTAATCCAGTGGTCTGCTGTTTTCAAATAATGCAACTTGATAACTGATTTTAAAAGCTTATTGGCTTCTTAAATGTTTTTTAATCATATACACACACACACACTCTTTGTCTGAATGAATGTATGTGCACCACATGTATTACTGGTATTCACGGAGGCCAGAAGAGGATGGAAGATCCCCTGAAACTGTCACGTGGGGGATGGGAACTGAACTTGGGTCTTCTGCAAGTGCTCATGACTGCTGAGACATCTCTCTAGCCCTATTTATTGACTTCTTGACAGAGGAAACATAATGCTATTCCTTAGAGGTAAAAATAAAAAACTCATTTTTTCCTTAAATACATATTTATGATACAAGAGAACCACACAGAGACAGAAACCAAAACAATTTTAGATGCTCATGGAGAAGAAGAAATGAAAATTATAACAAGCCCTTGAATATTAGTTTTACTATTACAGTTTTTTAAAAAAGGAAAGGAAGAAAAGATAAAGGAAAAGGAACACTAGAAACTGGTCACCTTTGATTTTCTTTTTTCCTTGCAGTTCTTGGCTTCTTCAGCTGCCACACCCGCTGCTTCATTGAGATACTTGTTACCAACTTTGCTTTCAAACCACTTGAGGTCCACAAAAACTTCACTGAAGTGCTCTCGATCAAACTGAACAAAAATAATGCTATCTTAAAATGACTTAAATATATGTGAAAGAGTACAAACTAAATTTCTAACAGGAACAATTTCTGGGGCATATAAAATAGGAGAATTTACAGAAATACACACACAAAATATCATTAACTTGGAAAATTGTATATATGTGTATATATATATGTGTATACATACACATTATCATTAACTCTGAAAATTAAACATAAATAACTAAAATGAAATAATTCAAGTAAAATTATACAGAATGAATAATCAGAACAAAGGTAAAAAACAGCTTTTTTTTCTGTTAATGGTTAATGACAATTTACAGTTATACTAGAGAAGGAAAAAAAAACCTTGTAGTTACTTACATCTGACAGTTTCACAAGGTATCTCTCAAATCGAGATAAGTTGAGATGTCCACTTTCATTAATATAACCTAAAATAAACCAAATCTAAATTTGTAGTATAAACTGACATTATTTTCTAAATAGCTCTATAAAATTCTTTCACAAACTGCTGAATAATTCTTTTAATGAAGAAAACCTTTGTTTTGTTGTCTATATCCTTTATATTACTATATTTTAGGCACTGAAGTAAAATATTGGAAATTCCAGTTACATAATGATAATGCTTCCATACTTCTGACCATATTTCTAACAAGCTCATATGTATTACAGTCTGTCTTGACCATTCAATTTGACATGTTAAAATAAGAAATGGTGTAGTTGGCTGTGGAGGCACACACCTGTATACCATCATATTTAGGTTACCATAGGCTGTGGCAGGGGAATTTTGAGTTTGAGGCCAACCTGAGAATACATAGTAAGACTTTGCCTCAAAAAGAAAAAAAAAAAAAGAAAGAAAGAAAGAAAGGAAGCATTTCCTGTAATTTAGAGGAATTACTTAACCAATTTCCCATTATGACTGAAAAAAAAATTTGGTTCATATTAAATACTTTTATGGGGGCTGGAGAGATGGCTCAGCGGTTGAGATCCAGGTTCAAATCCCAGCACCCACATGGCGATTCACAACCGTCTATGAGATCTGATGCCTTCGTCTGGCCTGCAGGCATGCATGCAGACAGAACACTGAATACATCATAAATAAATAAATATTAAAAAAATACTTTTATGTACATTTAGAACAGCTGGATTTCTAGAATGAAATGATATTAATGAGACTTGATTGTTTTCTTAAAGTATTAGAGGTGACATTAGTTATTTAATGAGTGAGGTTATTTACCTGTATTCAGCTGTATTCATCCATCCATCCATCCATCCATCCATTCATCCATCCATCCATCCATCCATCCATGGTTTTTTTGAGACAGGGTTTCTCTGTGTAGCCCTGGCTCTCTTAGAAGTCAGAGTTTCACCTGCCTCTGTCTCTTGAGTGCTGGGATTACAAGTGTGTGCCACCACGGCCTAGCACTGTAGTCAGTTTTAGTGACCACTGAAAATGACAACCTCAGTGCCTGCCACTTAGACTAAAAGAAACCCATTGCATTTTCCTAATTTGGTCATGCATGCAATTGTCTAGTAAACAGAGGGAAATCTCTATGGTGAGCTGGCACTAAACTAGCAGTAAAATGTGGTCTTACCTCCAAGTTTGGGCAGGATGGCAATGTAAGTTCCATAAAGAAGAGGCAGTGCGTCATGATTAATATGCAAATGAGGTAGATGAGGGATAAAATCATTGCCAACAAGAAATCCCATCAAAATCCAATCATCTATAATTTTTTCAATATCATACTTAAAAGTGATCTTTTCCTATGGCAAAAGGGAGAATAAATTGAAATCCTATGGAAATTTCTGTATGCAAAAACTGTGGTCCATGACTATATTAATACTTACTTTTAATGCTGAAAATTCATAATCAATATACTCTCTCATTAAAGACAAGTGTAGGAGGTGAAATGTTGTTTCTTCTGGTGCACAAACCCTGTAATTAGTCAAGTGATCAAAACAGAGTAGTCCAACTTCAAATATGCAGCAATGGTTAAGTAAAAATTATCACTAATAGGTAATTTTTATCTAAAGCAAGTAATTTACATACAATTATATGAGAATGTCATCATAATGGGTGAAATATGATAAAGTTCAAAATAACTGGTTTACATTATACTTTTGGTGGAAGGATTCTTAAGAACTCATAAGGTCTAACCACACAATACATAAAAGAAACTAGTGTGATCTGGCCCACTTACTACTGGTCATTGAAGGAAGTGTACAAATTAGTGAGGGTGTGTATGCAGGCATACACTTAAATTTATGCAATATAGTTTATCTTTTGCATTGGATAGGATGCTATATTGGCTTATACTCCAAGTTTAGCTATAAAAAATAATATTAGGGGACAGCAACATATTTAAATAGACAATACATAAGCAAGATTTATTAGAAGAATCCAAGGGCAGTTCAACATAAGGAAACCAAAATCTTATAGCACATGAATAGAATGAAGGGGAAATTTTTCCATTATCATTTTGCAGAAAAAGCATTTAACCACATTAAACACTCCCCTGTGGTAACACTGAAATGCAGTACTCAGGAGGCAGAGGTAGAAGAATAATGAGTTTGAGGCCAGGCCTGGTCTACATAGGTTTGGCTAGCTTGGCCTATAGAAAGAAACTGTGTTAAAACTAGAGAAAGTGGGCTAGCAAGAGGCTCATTGGGCAAAGATATTTGCCATTAGGTCTGATGACCTGAGTTTGATCTCCAGAGCCTACTTCTACAGGCTGTCCTCTGACCTCTACACATGGGACTGCACATGTGCACGCACACACACACACACACACACACACACACACACACACACACTCTCTCTCTCTCTCTCTCTCTCTCGCTCAATCTCTCTCACATACATACACACACACAATGTAAAATATACTCTCAAAAAAAAGAGAAAAAGAGCTATAGAAATAAATTTCCTTAATATGACAAAGGACATTTATGAAAACACATAATTAACATTATAGGGTGAAAATATTACCCCTAAGATCAGGAATAAGACAAGGATACCTACTTTACCACAGTTATTCAACACACCATAGCTATTCAACACTGTTCTTTAACTCCTAGCCAGGGCAATGAGGCAAGAAAGATAAAGAAATGGAATTAAAATTGGAAAGGGATAAGTACAATTTTATCTGTTTTCAGATGGTGTTTCTACATACAGAAAACTCCATAGAATATATAAAACCATATTAGTGCCAATAAACAAATAACTCATCTACAGGGAACAAGATAGGTAGTATTTCTGCACACCATCAAAGGACAAACCAAAGAGAAATGAAGAAAATTATTCCAAGGGCTGGACAGGTGGCTCAGAGGTTAAGAGGACTTGGGTTCAGTTCCCAGAACCCACATGGTGTTTCACAACTATCAGTAACTCTAGTTATGGAATCTGACATCCTTTTCTAGGTTTGGTGGGTACCACACATGCATGTGGTGTATATACATATATTCAAGCAAAACACTCATGTACCTAAAATAAAATTTTAAAAAACCTGAAAACATCATTCCATATACAAACAGCATCTAGAAGAGTTAAATACTTAGGAATAAACTTAACCAAGAAGTATATCAGGGAAACTACTACAAAATTTTGCTGAAAGCATCTACAAGGAGACACAAAATGTGTATGCATGGATTAAAAGACTCAATACCAAAATCTTTTAAAAAGATCTATAGATTTCTTAGATCTTTCTTAAGCTATCCCTATCAAAATCCCATCGATGTTTTTCACGAAAATAGAAAAAAAAAATCTATCCTTAAAAAACAAAAAGAAAGCTGGGCATTGGTGGCTCAAGCCTTTAATCCCAGCACTCGGGAGGCAGGGGTAGGCGGATCTCTGCGAGTTCGAGGCCAACCTGGTCTACAAGAACTAGTTCCAGGACAGGCTCCAAAGCAATACAGAGAAACCCTGTCTTGAAAAACCAAAAAAAAAAAAAAAAAAAAAAAAGGAAAAAAGAAAGAAAAAAGAAAACAAACAAACCTACCATGCTTTCCCTAAATATACAAAACAATCTTGGAAAAAGAATAAATTTGGGTTTCATCTTCTTGATTTCAATGTTAACTACATTAAAATCTACATGAATACACCAGTAAGAGTATACTTTTCAATAGGGAAAGGACAGTTTTCTCAACAAATAGTGATGGGAAAATTGAGTTTCCATATACAAAGAATGGAATTGGATTTTTACCTTATACCATATACAAATACTAATTCAAAATGGATCAATGACTAACTGCAAGCTACAACTATGTAACTCAGAGTGGAGCATGACTCAGCAGCTGAGTGCTTACCACTGGGTTCAAGCTTAGCATTGCAAAATGACCAAAGCCCCACAGAGCAAAACAAACCCTCTACAAAACTTTCAGAATAAAAAAATATAGGGGCAACCTTTATGACATTAGATTTGACAGTGTTTTCTTGGATGCTACAAACATTAAAACCATAGGCAATAAAAGAAAAGGATAAACTGGACTACACTAAAATAGGCATCTATGAATTAAGAGAAAATATATGCAGAGCCCCTCTGTAAGGGATTAATTACTAGCCATGCTTAATTTTTGTTCTGTTCTCCAACATCTGATTTACCTTTGTGTTTTTTTTCCACCAAACCGAACTTCTTCTCTTAAGAGAGAAAAATGTGCCTCGTGACTTGTTAACCCAAGCATGATCTGTTGAGAAATAATTATGAAATATTTTTATTCTACTTTTGTTCATACCATTAGGTTTACAAAAGCAACTTAATAAAATTTCTATGCAGATAACAATTTAAAAGTCTAAATGTGAATATTAAAATTAAGTATGCAGATATCACAAAATGATTCAATCACAAGACACTGATGGAATCAAGTGAGTACACTTTTCTAGAACTGTGTTCACCTTGGAGCCCATGAGCCTTGTAACTGACACCACATTCCCCAGTTCTCCTCCCTAAATCAAAAACTTTCTCTGGATTTTCACAAATTCTTACTTTTCATGAGGATTAGAAATTAGAAGCAGCAACTTTCCAATACTACAAAAATATAGAGAATCCTTAGAGTTTAGGGTGACCCTAATATGGAAATTCATTCCAAATAGAAAAGAGTACTTTAATCTTCTCATATGTTCTACTTACTCAAGTGAACTCAAAAGTCTAGTGAACATGTGAATCAACAGCAATATATATTGTTTATTTTACTTAAATTCTTATTCAAACAACAAAACAAAATGAAACATTTATGAAGCAATCAGGAGATGTGGTTATTTATGTTAACCAATTATTATTTTTATGTGTGATAATGGCATTGTGGTTTGGTACCTTAAAAACTTGTTTATAGAAACATGAAAACACATATTTATTAAGTGAAAACTATATGGGATTTGCTTCAATCCTGTAGAAAAGAGACAGATGATATTAAATTTAAAAAAATTAATACCTAAGGAAACTTGCCTGGTGTGGTGGTACATGCCTTAATTCCAGCACTTGGAAGGTAGTGGCAGGCAGATCTCTGAGTTTGAGGCCAGCCTGGTCTACAGAGCAAGTTCCAGGACAGCCAGGGCTACACAAAGAAACCCTGCCTCAAAAAAAAAAAAAAGAAAGGTAGCTTGCTCGGCTAGTTTTGGCTAGTATGAAAAGTTCTTTGATAGGGAGGGGCTGGAGATGGCTCAGTAGTTAAAGAGAGTTTACTGCTCTTGCAGAGGACCTGGGTTCAGTTCCAGGTACCTACAGGACAGTTCATAGCTATCCCTCACTTCAGTTCTAGGGGATCCAATATCCAATGCCCTTCTTAGGCACCAGGAACACATGTGGTGCACATACATACATGCAGGTATTTGAGGTACTTGAAGCATGGAGCTGAATTAGGAGGTTTTCATGACTTTAGGTAAAGCAGTCCTCTTTCCTTGGTTTCAGCACCATAGTCACAGAACTAGGGTTACTCATTTCTGTAGACTATACTGACATCAGTTATTCATAATCTATGACAAACAAAACTTATTTCTCTAATTCTTCTAGAAATTAAACAATGGCAAATGTAGTAATCATTGCCTTTTGTATTCATTGCTACAGCCAGTGAACTTCATGCATTAAAAATTCCATCTCTTAGGTATTTAGTTCTATAACACAAGCTTATAATGACAATAAGGGTTATACCTACCAAGTCAGCATCTAAGCCATAAAGACAATGTCTGGTGTTTGGATCATGATCTGGCTTTGCTTTCTCCGATCTGATAAATTCCATGATTTTATGCTCTCCTTCTCCAGGAGTCTAAACATAATGTTTAAAAAAGAAGGTGGTAATATGCTATGCTTCAAACTTTTAAAAAATTTTAAACTTTAAAAAATTCCTTAGATTAAAAAGGATGATAACCTCATGGCCTGAGAAGTAGATGGTAACGCCTTGCCATGATTTGTCAGTGGAAATTTTCATATTTACAAAATACTTCAGATGTTCATGCAACCTGGCCATGAATTCAGTCCCTATAAATAAAAAAATTTAAAAAGGTTAATTTGAGAAAGATAAAAATAACAAAACCAGTTAAGTTCCCAGTAACAATACATAATCAGTATCTTCAAAGAAAGCTCAACACTCTCTTGCAACCAAGTATAAGATAATGTGTCCCCTAGCAAGTATCTCCAATGCTTCAAATGTCACTAGCAATCTTGCTTGTTTCATTTCTTTTTTGGATTTTTTGAGACAGAGTTTGTCTGTGTAGCTTTGTAGACTAGGCTGACCTTGGAACTCACAGAGATTTGCCTGCCTCTGCCTCCCAAGTACTGGGATGAAAGGTGTGCGCCACCACCACCCAGCTGTCACTAGCAACCTTAAATGAAGTCAGTGCCACAATGGTCGTCATGAATTTTACACCATCTATAGACTGTGTTTTAAGTATTTTACCTAAGAGCAGTTTGAACTCTAACTCTAATTTTCTACATTTTTGCTGGATTCCTAAGCATATTATTACTTTTATTTATTATTATTATTATGTCTGTATACACTGTGTAATGTGTGAGGGAAGTATATGCATGCTATAGCATATATGTGCGGGTTAGAGGACAGTTTTTTGTAGTTCATTCTATCCTTCAACCAAGGTTTCTGGGCTTTGAATACAGGTCAACTTGTATGGAAAGTGCTTTTACCCAGAGAATAATTTTTCTAGATCCTAAAGTATTTTTATAAGACATGTAGTTTTAATCAGGTTGTCAATTAATATTTGCTTTTTTTTGTAAAGAAAATGTCTGTAGTCCAGGTTAGCCTTGAACTCACTACTGCTGATCCTCTCCCTCTATTTCCCAAGTCCTGGGATTGCAGGCATGCACAACCATCCCTGACCTATGCTATGCTAGGGACTGAACGCAGGAGCTCATGCATGCAAAGAATGGACCCTACCCCCCATCCAAAAAAAAAAACCAACTATATTCCCACTTCAACAACTACTAGTATGTGTATATACAGGTTCATGCAGAAGCATGTGTTTATATGGAGCCCAAAGGATAACTTATGGTTCCTTAGTTCTTCCTTAGATACCATCCACCTCGTTGGGTTTTATTTTTTATTTTTTAGTCAGGGTCTCTATGTATCCCTGGCCGCCCTAGAACTTGCTATGTAGATCAGGATGGCCTCAAACTCACAGAGATCCTCCTACCTCTGCCTCCCAAGTATTGGAATTAAAGCTGTGTGTTACCATGCCCAGTCACTTTGTCTTTTGAGACACAGATTCTCACTGAAACCTAAGACACAATAAGCAGGCAAAACAGGTTGACCAGTGAGCCCCAGGAATCTGTCCATCTCATTTCCCCAGCAAGATTACAAGTGTGTACCACCATACCCAGCTTCTTATCTGGGTGCTGGGTATTGAACTTAGGTCCTTATGTTTCTGTGATTAAGACCTCTATTGGCTGAGTTATCTCTCCAATAGCTGCTATGCTTTAATTTTTAAAAAAATACACATACATGTGTTTTGCCTGCACACATGTATGTGAGCCATGTGCATGCAGTGCTCTTGGTCAAAAACTGGTATCTTATGGAGTTACAGAAGGTTGTAAGCCACCATATGGGAGCTGGGAATTGAACCCAGGTCCTCTGCAAAAGTAATCAGTGCTTTTAACCATTGAGCTATCTCTGTAGCCCCAATAACTACTATTCTTAACAAGAAAAATGATTTTAATTTGTAAAGTGAGTATACAATGATTATGCCATAGGAAATCTGAGATGAGCAACAGTAAAAGGCAATACTATATCCAGGAAAGAAACTGGTTACTAAATTGAGCAATGTATATCTAAAACAACAACTGAGCAATGTATATCTAAAACAACAACAAAGCCACAAGTTTGTATGGAATTTAAAAAGCTTCATTTAAGATTTTTGTTCCAAATAAAGGACTATAAAAATGCCCCTCGAGAATATAAGTAGGGTGATGTATATAAAGTTAAGTTAAACAAATTACTAATAAATTACTATTTTTTTACATTTACATTTATGTACTTATTTTATTTGTGCATGTAGAGGTCAGAGGACAACTTGCAGAAGTTGGTTCTCGCCTCCAGCATATAGGTTCTGGGAACTGAACTCGGATCATCAGGATGGGCAGCAACTGCCTTTATCTGCTGAGCCATTTCACTGGCCCTATTTTTTTAAAGTCATAGAAATCCTAGATTCCTTTAGGAGGTAGGAATAAACTATCTGAACTGAAAGAATGGGTTTCTCATTCTGAAACCACAAGGTAGGTATAGAAACTTATTTATTTGATACTGGTAACTGACCAGAATAAACTGAAAATCCCTGTAAGTTCCTTCCAGGTCAGGAACTCTATGTATAAGGCTTCTCCATATCTGCTCACCAACACCTGAAAACACTACAGTGGGTCTTTATAGGAACCTTCACAAGAAACATGAGATCACCTCATGAGTAAGACACAAATGGGAAAATATGGCTAATGAAAGTCTAAGGACAAATAGGCTAAGAACAAAAATATGTTAGAAAAATGTTCGATTTCTACCTTAAGTCTTTCAGAATGCCACTCAGTCAATTTACCTGGTGTAATACAGTTAGAATCAAATCTGGCTTCTGTAGGAAGCGTTTCTCCCTTTTCTATTGCTTTTTTAATTTTGTCTTCTGCCTCCTTGGCTGACCTTAAAAGTCAAAGAGAAAAAAAGTCTTACATTTTCTAGAAAATAAGCATTTTTATACAAACTATTATTTAGAACCTTTTTTATATAAAACACCAATTTGCCAATCTTAAGGTCCAAAGCTATACAATTTTTTTACTTATTTATTTTTTTACATTAAAACTATAAAATTTTAAAAATAATTATACTAGAAATGAATAAGCTTAAAATTCTTTACTTTTGCCGGGCGGTGGTGGTGCACGCCTTTAATCCCAGCACTCAGGAGGCAGAGGCAGGCGGATCTCTGTGAGTTCGAGGCCGGGCTGGACCGACAGCCTCCAAAACAATACAGAGAAACCCTGTCTCGTAAAAACAAAAACAAAAAAAAAAAAAAACTTTACTTTTACTTACAGAATTGAGTTATTTTAAAATATAAAGACTATAGAAGCCAGACATTAAAATAGTAAAAAGCACACAAATCATTACAAGCACTTAAGTAATTCTAACATAAATACATAGCAAATTTATTTCAGAAATAAGGTCATAGGCTTTAAGTGTCAATTGTTTGCTATACTTTATATCATTTAATGATTTTAATAATTTTACTAATTATCAATGATATGAGTATATAAAATATAACCAAAAATGATTCCAGGCTTTAGAGAATACACTCTGCAAGGGAAGAAATATGAATAGCCATGTTTAATCTAGCTGCAACATAGAAACGACTATTAAAATAATCTAAGTAAAGATAATCACAGCCTACACTGAGATACTAGATTTTGACAAAGATGACAAAAGGAAGTATAAGTAGGTTATAGATGCGAGGAATGAAGAGAGAGAAGGAGTGAAAATCTCTCTTGGTCTTTGGGTAGGGCAGCTAATCACAGAAGACGGAAATAGGAAAGAGAAAAAGCTGCTTTGGGAGGATGAATTCAGTTCTGAACACAGCAAACCTTCTGGGATCTAGGCTATCCAAAAGGAGACAGTCACAAGTATTTCAATAGAAAAATAACTTTGGAGTGAGAAAAACACTGTAGATAAAAGTGGGCGTCATGAGTAGAGGCATACTAAGTAGTCATTAGGTGTCTTCACTCAGGGCCCAGGGACAGAGACTCAAGGAAGTTAACTTTAGTGCTAATTTAAGAAAAAAAGAAGCAGAGAAAGGGAAGATGACGATAGCCCAGCATGACACAAATAGCAAAGCTGCATGAAGGTCAAGGGAAGTAATCCCGGAAAGGAAGCAGGACCGTCACTGTTAGTTGATGTGGGGGGAAGAAGCAATGCACATTTAGTCTTTGCATTAGGACATCAGGCTGTGCTCTTGTAATGGCACAGCAGAGACAAAAACCAAAAGTCAAAGACATCATGCATTAAAGCATGAAGCTGCTGGAGGACTTTCTAGAAAATATGGGACTCTCAGTGACAACCTAGCATTTAATATATGTTTATGGTAGTTAACCCCCAGCCAGTAGTCTCTGATATGAAAAGGTTATGAAGCTAAAAAGAGCTGGAAGCCTTCCCTGAAGTTAAGTTTCTCCAAATGAATTGATTTTTGCTAGTTAGATGCCTCCATAAAAGTTGATACCAACATGACAGTTGAGGCATTAGGGGTGTTGTGGGTGAGGGTTCAGCAATGATAAGAGTGACAAGAGGAGACCCCAATACTTACATTTCAGGTACCAAGAAACAAGGAGTAGGATATTTGTTTTGTCTAATGTAGGTCTAGAAGACAGAGTACATTGATACCGTCTGGTGGCTAAACTTTATGGAGACCAGGTTGGCCTTGTACTCAAGGAGATCTCGTCTGTGCTCACAATATTGGGATAAAGGCCAGCACCATCAGCATCTTAATATGAGTTTTTAGGCTAGTGGCTCCCTAAAACTAGTTTAATAAATACCATGTGTAGATACCTAGTGTAAATAGTTTTCCAATACCTAGAGATTCTGATTAAGTCTTTAGGCAGTCCTTAGAAATCTAAATTTTTAGTTTAAAAAAAGCCATTGCATTTAATGATCCTAGTATTTTCAATATTTTTTGGACTCTTTTTTCCCCCCTTTTAATAGTTAAACCAATACTCTACCATCCTATCCTTAGTCTCACCAGAAGGTTTCTCTAAGACACTGTTCCAACTTTCTTGACAACTTTGACATTTGATGCATGAATACTTCTGGTTTTTTTTGTTTTTTGTTTTGGTTTTTTGAGACAAGGTTTCTCTGTATTGTTTTGGAGGCTGCTCTGTAGACCAGGCTAGCCTCGAACTCACAGAGATCCGCCTGCCTCTGCCTCCCCAGTGCTAGGATTAAAGGCGTGCACCACCAACGCCGGCCTACTTCTGTCATTCTTTATCCTGCCATTATGACTAAAGGAGTCCTTATGCTAGCACCTCATCAAACACTCTGGACTTAGGACACCTCCAAACAGGTATGACACCTGACTTCACTGTTATTTAGATATACTTGACAAATCCATGGTTTTGATTTTAAGACTCTTTTTATCTCTAACCTCTTTACTTAGTTCCTAACTCAACTCTCTTCCCATATTCCATCAATCATCTTCTAATCTCACTTACCTTAGTGCACAATTAGGGCTCATATTTACTCAAAATCAGCCTGTAGACCAAGGTCACTGTCATTAGAATAACTTCCTGGTACATTCTGTAGTGACTAAACCAAGGTGGATCACCACAGGTGTTGTGCTCTACTTCCACTTTCAGATTATCAAAGCAAAGTTTGAAAACTTGTAACTGAGAACAGAATGACTATATATGAAACCCAACACAAACTTTGAAACATAACTCACCAAAATTACTAGTTTACTACTTGACTAGTCAAATGTGCTAATTAGTATGAAGTATACAAATTACTTTGAGGATTTAAATAGAAAACAAATGTGAACAGAAGATGCACTGTATTATGTCAACTGCTTTAAATGATGTACCTAAAACGCCTCCCGCGTTGCTGGTTCATTTTTGCTCGAGGAGCCACGCCATCAACAGCCATAAAGAACACTTTCCTAGGTTTAATAATTCGAAACAACACCTCCAAGTAGTGAAAAATATCAGTAAAGATTTTGTCATCTGAAATTCTGAAGTGAACATCATCATCATTAGGATGGGAACATTGATGTATAATTCCATTCATATCCAGATACAAGTTATCAAATTCTGGAATCTAAAAAGAAAAAAAAAGTTCCAGATTATTAATTATACTGGCTCTTTTAAAGCCTGGCAAAAATGATTCTTCAATGGTTCAAAACAAAAAACAAAACAAGCAAACAGGATTTAATGTATTCTGATTATAAGAACTCGAGGGGCCTCTTCTGTACAACCACAGCTATGCACAAGCAAAGTGCCTGCATCTCCAGTCTTTGAGGGATCCAATGCCCTCTTCTGGCCTCCAAAGACAATATATGCATGGGCACAAACATGCAGGCACACATACCACATACATACATATATACATGCATATAAAATATATCTTTAAAAAGTGAATAAACAGTCACAGTTGAATAAAGTAAGCAAAGAAAAGCAAACGAGAGCAACTAGGAATTCAGAAAGAAATTATGTAGTTATATAATGAACGACTTGACCTAATTTACTACGAGGAAATAATTTATTTAAAATAGGAGAACACCAGAGAAAGCACTTAGTTAATATGGCACTCAAAATATTAGTTTCCTTCATGTTTGTTACTTGACATCTTAAAGTCTCAATCTCTTCTATAAATGGGAAAATAGTGCCTATTTACATCAAAAGGTTTTATAAAAGAGGATTAGAGGTTTTACAAGTTACTTAATACCTTTTCCACTTGGTTCACTCAAACAGAGCCACTTACTTGTTATATTCGTTTTTAAAAGCTTAGATTATCTGAAAATGGAAGCAAAACAGCTGAGCTTATGTAATGGAAAGCCAGACTCCAGTCTGTCACTGTGGGGATTGGTAGGGATAGGTGGGGCATGTGCTATCTACTTTATAGAAGGTCTTCATGACTCTGGCTTTCAGTTATTATTATTATTTTGTCTAAACAAGCACAATATTGACATAAATGTATATCGTCAGAGAACTGAAATGGCTGCAACTATCCAGTGTAACCAAAGACTTTTTTTTACTAGTCTCCTTTATATATTAAATAAAGAAAATTAGCTTGAATCTAATTAGTAAACACATGCAGGTAACAATATATTTTCTCATTATTGAAAAACGGCATGCCTTGTGAGGTTTGAAGGTGGCAAGTTTTAAATTATTAAACACTTCCAACGTTTATCTAAAACTTATCTATTTTACAGAATTAAGTGACAAATAAAAAACTCTTTAAATGTTATTGAGTAACACATAGGATCACCTGAAATTAGCACCTGTAATGAGATTTTTAAAGAGCATTTAAGCCTTAGTATTTGTTTCAAGAATCTGAAAACCCGAACTGAAACCTCACTGTTTATTTCTTGAGAATGAAATAATTTATATAACATGATTCAATTTCTTTAGGAAAATAAGTATGTTTCGATAGTAAGGAACAGTATTAAAGGCAGAGTAATGAAGGGAAATCAGCCTTCAATGACTTCAAGTAATAGATTGAAGGAAACAGAAGAATGCAAGTGTATATGAAATTTCAGAATAGAAGAACATTTCTAACCACTAAAAGGAGGGTACAGAGTATTTGCCCAATCATCAGAAAACAAGACTAACAAAAGCGTCAAAGGCATGTTTTGTTTTCTTAACTACTCAGAACATAGAAGCAGGAGGGTTGCTTGAGCCCAATAGTTCAAGGTCAGCCTGAGCTGTTAAAACGCGGAAAAGTGTGTGTGTGTAAGTATTTTGATGATCTAGTGCAAGGAAAGCCCCAATCATAAACAAATAAATACTAAAATGGCAATATAAAAATACATTGTTTCAGGGGCTGGGGAGACGGCAATGGTTATTAAGAGCAGTGACTGCTCTTCAAAGGACCCAGGTTCACTTCCCAGTACCCACATGGCAGCTCACAGCTGTCTGTGACTCCAGTTTCAGGAGACCTGACACCCTCACACAGACATACATACCTACAGGCAAAATACCAACACACATAAAAACAAATAAATAAGACTTATTTAAAAAAAAAGTCTATAGGATGGCTGAGGATGGTAGCCGGTGCCTATAATCCTAACATTTGGGAGGCAGAGGCAGAAGGTCTGCAGTTCCAGTAGGGAAAATGTCTAAAAGTTTCACACAGAAGAACCAGGAAGAAAAGTTGTTTCAGATACTGCTCTAGTACTTATTTCATTGGTTCTGTAACAAATGTGGCTGACAATGGCTTTGTGACTCAATTTTCCCAGGTTTCACTTACAAAGACCAAGTAGATAATACTGTAGACTGGGTGTGGTGTGGCTGGTGGTGTATACTGGTAATGCCAGTATTTGAGAGGTGAAGGCAGGATTAAGAGTTTAAGGTCAGGCAGGCCAGGGAAACCCCACAGTAGGAGTCAGAGGGGTTGAGGACACCATGAGAACAGGGCCCAGAGAGGCTCCCAGGGACTGAAAAGATAAACACGGACCATATGTGAGTCTGAGCTAGGTGAGTCTGCATATACCTTATGATTGCGTGGCTTGGAGTTTCTGTGGAACTCCCAACAGTGGGAGTGGGGAGTATCTCTGACTTTTTTGCCTGCACTTTGGACTCTTTTCCTCCTACTGAGTCCAGCCTTGATGAGGGCTTGTGCCCAGTCTTATTGCATCTTGTTAAGCTATATTTGGTGTATATCCCTGGGAGGCCTGTTCCTTTAATTAATTTATTTTTTTAAAAAAGGAAGGCAGAAACCGGGTGTTGGTGGCGCACACCTTTAATCCCAGCACTCGGGAGGCAGAGGCAGGTGGATCTCTGTAAGCCTGGACTACCAAGGGAGTTCCAGGACAGCCTCCAAAGCCACAGAGAAACCCTGTCTCGAAAAAACCAAAAAAAAAAAAAAAAAAAAAAGGAAGGCAGAGGAGTGGATCCGAGGAGAAGAGAAGTGGGGGAGAAGCTGGAAGTTGTGGAAGGAGGGTCTGAATGTAATGTATGAGAGAAGAACAAAAGTTTAGAATAAAAGTTAAAGGTTATACAGCAGTTTCAAGGCCAATCTGTACTATATGAGACCCTGTCTCAAACCCCAAAATACTATGATTGCTATTTTAAATAAGTGAATGCATGTAACCAATTTAAAATTTTTTAGTTCATAGTAATAGTTAACAAAATTTAGCTCTTATTTTTAATATTTAGATATAATTATTTTTAAGATAAAATGTGTGTGTAAGTGCTCATGGAAGCCAGAAGAGGGTGTCAGGTCATCTGGAGCTGGAGTTACAGGTGTTGTGAACTTCCCTAGGTGATAGGAGATGTAATTCTGTTAATCTGTCTCTTATTGGTTGTTGAATAAAGCACTGTTGGCCAATATGGAAGCAAGATAGGTGGGACTAGGAGTCAAGGAGAATGCTGGAAAAGAGAGAGTCAGAGTCATCATGTAGCTGCCATAGAAGTAAGAGGTCTCGACCCTTTCTCCGGTAAGAGAAATACTTAGATGGGTTAAATACTTTAGTCAGAGCTAGCCAGCAAGAAACAAACAAACGGCCAACAGCTTCATAATAAATAGAGTGTCTTGTGTGTTATTTGGGGACTACAACGCGGCAGAGCCCAGGTGACTGGTGGGGAAAAACCAAAGCGGCTGGCAAGGAAAAGACTTCACCCTACACCTAGGACCTGGGTGCTGGGAACTGAATGCCAGTTTTCTACAACAGCAAGTATTTTAACTATAGAATCATCTCCCTAGCCTCAAACTTTTAGCTATTTTAGTATTAACAGCATTGTGCTAGATTAAAGCTGTACAGCTTTAAGAACTTATGATGCTAGTTGTATGATTTTTTTTTGTAACGAATACAGATCAAGGATATGTGTTTACCTTCTTTCCTTTCTGAACATCCTATGAGAAGCCTCAGACAAGCATAGTTTTCTAGAAAGAATGAATGGCTTGTACTAATAGGTTTTAAAAAGGAAGGCTTTCAGCCGGGCGTTGGTGGCGCACACCTTTAATCCCAGCACTCGGGAGGCAGAGGCAGGCGAATCTCTGTGAGTTCGATACCAGCCTGGACTACCAAGCGAGTTCCAGGACAGCCTCCAAAGCCACAGAGAAACCCTGTCTCGAAAAACCAAAAAAAAAAAAAAAAAAAAAAGGAAGGCTTTCTGCACATTATGCAATGTATACCCAGGGCTTTATGCATATTAGTTAAGTGCTGTACCATGGAACTAAGCCTCACTACAATTGTTATCTTCTCCCTTCTCAGTGGTGGTGCTACTGACTCTAAAACCACATCAGCAGTCCATCTACAATGAAATGAAATGTTACTAGCGGCAGGACAGGGCAGCAGTGTGGCCTCTGTCAGCAGTGCAACTTGAGGAGTTCTCTGAATCTTGGAGACACCTGGGTCCTTGCTGTCCACCACAGAAAAGACTTTCATGATGAGTGTGGCTGAAATAAAGTTAGCAACTACTTTACCAATCAGAAAGACAACAGGTACTTGAAGAGAGTCAAATGTGGGTATTGTGAGAAAAATGTATGTAGGGGTATGCAGAAGCAATAAGTGGCTAGAGGCTTGAAGCTACTCACTCTGCAACTAAGTTTAAATATTATGAGAAAGGGAGAAAAGGCATATTTTTCTTACTAGTAGATTTTTGTACTTGAAGAGATGTTTTCTAAATACACTGTGCAGGTTGGTAGGTGAAGTGAGTACAATCAGAGATAAAACATTGAACAAAATAATTCTTTACTTATCCATTAAGATCACACAGAGGCTGGATTTACAGAAGAGTTCATTAGCTACTTTAAACATCGCAACAGTGATGCTTCCTGAAAGGGGAGTAGAGCTGTAGGTGAACTTTCTTTGTGGCCACCAGCCCAAATAATGATTTGAAGATTTATTATTAATTATGAAAGCTTGGCCTTTAGCTTATGCTTGTTGCAAACTAGCTCTTATAACTTAAACTAACCTGCTTCAATTAATCTACATTCTAACACGTGGCTTTTACCTCTCTCCCATTCTATACATGTAGACAGATTTTTCTTTGAACCACCAGCTCATAAAAAATGACAGAGACTTATTATTAAGTATGAAAGCTCAGTCTATAGCTTAGGCTTGTCCCACTAGCTCTTATAACTTAAATTAACCC